ACAGAAGAGAGGAACTGAGAACATGTGAAGCGGAAGAAACATGGCTATCATAGGACAAAGTAGTAGAAGCATTAGGTCTGGTAGAAAGAGGACAAAGAGTGTTGTTATTACACGGAATCCAGATACGGTCTTACAAGACCAGGGACAATTTGACCACCTGTTTTCAAAGAAAGATAAATCAAGGTCAGCCAGGGAAGTACTCAACATGAGGATGATGAAATGATAGCTAAGAGGATGCCCCAAGAGCTTCAATGTCACAGAACACATTTAGGTAAATAATGGTTACTCATATACTTGCACAAGTGGTAGCATTGTGGAGAGGTAAGGCTTAAACTTAGTGGTAATGCCAAGAGCATGTTCATGGCCACTAAGACACACCCAGCTGCCCACTGACTCTTCTCAGTGTTATGGGGAAAAGCATCAGAAGAGCAAAAGTGAGATAACTTGTTTTCTGAGATAAACGCAGTTCAATACATAAAGCAAAAGCTGTGCATGCAAACAAAAAAAACAAGGAATCCATTCACCACTTCCCATGGTCAGGCAGCTTTCAGCCACCTCTAAGACAGCAAGACTCCATCATTTGTAACAGTGCCATCACTCCAAATGTCCCTTCCTTCCTCCTCCTTCCCCAGCTTTACATGCTGAGCGTAACACTATATGGTCTGGAATATTCCTTGGGTCAGGTGGGGTCAGCAGTCCTGGTTGTGTGGTTTTTCAGCTCCTTGTGCATCCCCAGCCTGCTCGCTGGTGGGGGGGGTGTGAGAACCTGAAGAGTCCTTGAGTCTGAAAGCACTGGTCAGCAACAGCTAAAACACTGGTGTGTTATCAACATTGTTCTCAGACCAAAGGCCAAACACAGCACTGCAGCAGCTACTAGGAAGAGAATTAACTCTGTCCCAGCTGAAACCAGGACAACAAAAAAGATAAATTAAGTTTAGACTCTAAAAGAGGTTCCTAGACAAGGAAGTAAAGTTAGGACAACCTTCTAGGTGTAGCATACCAGTTGACTTCAAGAGTGACACATATGCATAACTTTATACAACCTGGCTGCCTGCAAGAGGTGTAATCTGAACTCAGGGAAGCAAGACAAGCCTTCCAGTCCTGTGTTCCTCTCTGCAGAGGCTTCCCCAAGCTGGGCTCACAACCCGTGCTCCTTGATATCCACACAGGTCCTTTATTTGTCAGACCTTGATTTTGCCTCCTCTGAGTTCCACCTGAGATCAGCTGGAATGAATTTCCAACAAGCTCAGTAAAAATACCTATTAATAGTGTAGCAGTAGTTTGGTTCAAAAAAAGCACGAACAAGTCTTGCTTCTTGCCCATTCTCTGATTCTGATCACCAAACAACATTCACTCACAGCAAGGAATATTAGCAAAAAAAGTCAGGATGGTATCCTATGAGGAGGAACCTTATTTCACACATCAGAGCTTGTAAAACAACTTGAATCAATTATCTCCCAGTTGTTCTTAGCTTAAAAAGAAGGAAGGAACGAGACATCTTAATTACTGTTTGTCCTTTCATAACATTAATCTTGTCACCACAGGGAGCAAATAGTTACACAGAATGGGCTTCCAAACAGTGGCAGTTCAGGTACTTCAGGGTACTTCTGTACTCATTCCTGAAATTAAAATTCCTTGAGTCAAGGAATGTGAAAGCAAGTGAACGTTTGAATTTTTTGGTTCTTGGGCTTTGCAGTTGTGGTTGGTGACCTAAACCACATATTGTGTTGTTCATTAGATAGACTGTTATCAGTATGTCTCATTCAATCAGCCCTGCCATCTTCTACCCTTGTTTCAATTCAGGTCAAGTTGCAGGCAAAAGCCAAATTCATTGGGAAAAGTTTGTATTCAAACAGCAAGGGATCAAGCAAAAACCAGAGCTCACACAACACTGCAGTGCCCAGATACGTATCAGCTATAGCCCTCGGCAGCACTGCTAGCAATCCTAACTGCTTTCCAACTGATATTTAGCAGACTCAAATTTCAACATCCAAAATCTAAACAAGAGTAATATTACAGCAGGAAGAGTCAGGTACAGAAAGTATTTAAGCACTGATACGAAGCTTTGAGCACTAATTTATTAGAACAGTAAGTTACGTATGCTTTTATCAACACAAACCCTTAATTCCTGTGCCAGTCATATACCACTTGTAAGATGTGCACTGTGTGAGCATCACCATTTACATTTCTTTATTGGCAGTTAAGGGATGCCAAGAATGTGGCTGCCTCCTCCCACATGGGTCCCCCCAGCACCGTCACAGCCATTCTGCCACCTTGGCACCCCTGCCCATACCCCAGCAATTTGATGCTACCACGGGTCTCCCTCAGTGCTTACTGCAAACACGCAGTAAACACAACCTCATCCCACCAGCACCCCAAACTCAGCACGGACCCTCTGCCCACATGACACCCCTGCCCAGACTGGGGTCTCCTGCTCACCACTGGCCCAGCTGCAGGTTTGCTGGTGAACACATGCACACCCCACACAACACGCCCCTGCCCTGGGGAGGACACAGACACTCGCCTCCCACCCTGCAGCTGGCACCAGCACCAGGCTGTGACCCCTCCATGTCCACCTATCAGCTGGTACCATCCCACTGACCCCACCAGCATGCCAGACCCCCACCGGGCTGCCAGCCTCATCAGCTGCAAAGTCCAGCTCCACTGCAGCCTTCCCGCCCACTGCTGCTACTGACCAGATTTGTTTGCTGTCTTCCTGTCCATCAGATGTGTATCCCTCTGTCCTGGGTTCAGCAGTAGCAGTCATGTTTTTCCTTTGTGTTAACTGGTGCAGTGCTGTGTTTTGACTTCCAGCTTGAGAACAGTGTTGGTGAAGCCGATGTTTTCGGTTGTTGCTAAGTGATGTTTACCCTGACCAAGGACTCTGTGAGGCTCATGCTCTGCCAGGGAGGAGGGGAAGCTGTGAGGAAGCAGAGACGGGGCGCCTGACCCGGGCTAGCCGGGGAGGTATTCCATACCACAGCACGTCATGCCCGGGGTGGGGGGGTAACTGGGAGTTACCCGGAAGGACAGGGGCTTCCGGGTGGGACTCGCTTTCTTGGCCGGTGGTATCGTATTCTCTTCCCTTGGTATTTTCCCTTATCATTGTTTTAACTGATAGTAGCGGTGGTGATTTGTTGCTGGACTGTTCTTGTCTCAACCCGTAGGAGTTGCACTCTCTCGATCCTCCTCCCTGTTCCTCCGGGAGCGGGGAAGGGGAGAGCCCCGGTGCAGGGGGGAGACGGACACGGACCTCGATTGTTGTCAGCTCGGCACCACTCACTGTGAGTGAGTGAACAATTTACCTGACTGGTTTAAACCACGACACCCTTTCTCTTTTAGTTCTGACTTCCCCCTTTTCCTTATCATCCCATTTGACAAGGTCCCTAATCAAATAACATTCCCAAAGTGAACATTACCACATCCCACACACCCTTATTAATATAACTGACCAGGTCTGATTCTCATTACCGTCCCTCTCAGGACCTGGCGGTTGAGTTTGCTTTATTGTATGCTCTTGTTCATGTTACCCCCTCTTCTTATTTCACCCTTTTTCATCTAAAAGGTTCTTGAAGTGCTTCAAGGAGCAGCAGCTCTCTCCTTCCATGTGCCCATGCAAACATTTCTACCTCTTCTTGAACTTTGATAAAAATGTCCCTATTCCTTTCCTTGGATAAAGAGCAGCAAAGCAACAACTTGGCATTGGAAGAAAATGATGGGACACTTCTACCTAAGTCCTTTAATAAACAGATCCTGAATGGAGGGTTGTGGATAGTAAGTGGAGCTTTTATTAGCAGCCATCTCTCTTGTCTGTCCCTGTAAGGCTCCAACAACACCCAACTATTCACCTACCTACCCACCCCTCAATGGATAAGCCTCAAGCTCTATTTAAGGGACAATAACATGGCATTCACATACAGCATATGCTACCATTGCCTTAATAAGAAATACACATTGCCACCTTGTCTGGATAGTACTGGGCATCTTTGCACAGAGGAAGGCTTCAACATACATCTTCCCACTGCTGCTGCTTGGATTTACCCCAGCAAGGATAAAGGCATGAACACTGCTATGTGACAGACAACACAACCGCTTAAATTAGGGTCTTTCTCAATTGACACTCTCAAACCCCAAACAACCCCTGTCTGTACTTACTAGTTCTGCGCATTTCAAATTTGTGATACTTACATTCTGCACCTGGTACAGTTAAAGGTGTCACTCCGAATTCCTTGTGGATAGTGAGGGTTACAAATGCCTTGTCCATTCACAAGTGGGTTAAAGGTGCTATTGTTCTGAACACGATAATCTGATGATCACTTAGCAGAAGAGCATCAGACAGTACATATGCTTGTTAAGTATCACCAAGGCACAGTAATGGAATACAGTAATGTCTTATATGGGATCACAGTTTAAATCCTAGCACTCTTGACTTCACATTTATTGAAGACAGTCCTATTTTGTACAACACTGAGCATATAGTGTAACTCTGGGAACCACAGCTGTGACTTAGTTAATGATCTCAATAAATCCTACTTAAGCAGAGACAAGAAAAGAATTATGCAAATGACTATTTCTGTAGCACATGTACTTGATAGCTAAATACATACCAAAATAAGGTTCTGCATACAAATACCAATACTTTTTAACCCACATACATGAGAAATACACAAGAAGGAGAACAGCTTACAGAATTTTATTTCAAAGAATTGCAGCTGCAGAGCATTTGTTACAAACTTGAACATACAGAAGGCATAATGTACAAATTGGGGTGGTTAAAAACCCAAGAAAGGTAGCAGATTTTTCAAATACAGCTGTGAATGTAACAAAGAATTACTTTTCTGAACACACCTGTCTAAAACATTATGATTCAAGCCTCAGTCCAAAACTGCTGCTTTCCCAGCACATGCATCAGGCAGTCATACTTGGCAGCTGGACAAGATGTCTTCCATCAGTCTCTTGTAGACCCACACATCCCCTTTAAGCCGCTGTCGTCGGATACCCACTACTTCAGGTCTGCTGAGCTGACACACTTCTAACACAAACTCCATAGCTACTTTGCCAACATGCGACCGTGTTTGACATTTGAGGGTATAACTGTACAAAACAAAGGAAACAAAATAATCATTGAAATATTTAATGTTTGTTTTCTAACACAATTTTGAATTAATAAAAGTACTTTAAAGAAATTGTGCTACTGCTATTGAGACTACAGGGAAACAGCCCAGAATTCAGTGAACTGAGAGCTTTGAATACTGTAGTCCAAGAACATTATCGTTATGCTCAAGTAGCAGCATGTGGCACTAATGTCCTACCCAGCCATAGGACCACTGCTAGCCACAGACCCCCATTCTCAGAGTGCAGAGCTGGAAGGATGGTGACACTCCCCATTGTTTTTCCAGGACAAGACCACTCTCCTGTGCAGAAACATTGCTGCAGAGAGGCTGGTTACAGCTCAGCTAGTGTGAAAAGTGGGAAAATTGAATGGGAAGTTTAAATCATGACAATGGGAGAAGGTGTTTCAGTGCAATTCAGTATCCTTCCAGATGCAGAGCTTGGAAAGGCATCAGAGGTTGAAGTGTTATCTGATGTTCTACAATGACTATAATTTAAATATTGGAAACCTTTAGAAAATGCGTGTTATTAAGCACATTCTTTTCATGCACTGGGAAATCAGGAGCCAGGCATTAAGCTTTGGTCCGAACTAGGAATCAATCCTACTCTCAATACCTTAGTCTAGTTAGTCAATCCTACAAATTAAAATACAAATCCTACAAATTAAAACAAACCACACAAAGGTGTGTTAATTCTGTGCAGCTTTTAAAATATACCGATCTCCTGGATAAAAAATGATGTCTTAACTGCCAAGAATGAGGGTTAAAAGGTGCCCAACATTATCTCTCAAAATTGCCTGATTTGGTCATGTGACCATACCCTACACAGTTTCACAAGAGATCAAATTCACTTCAGCCTCCAAGAACTTCGTCACTATTCTCAGTTCATATCTATCAAAGAACTCTATTATAACTCACTTAACCTTGCTTTGCAGTGGGTAGACAAGTTTTATTGCACACATTCATTTAGTGCTCTGTACACTTTTGATAAAATTACTGCACACAGGGCTGAGAAAGTAAGTTTAAATACTTCGCTTTATCAAAGACTTGTCTAAATATTTAGACAAATACAAGTTGAAGTAATCTTACTTTACACTTACCCCTTCTGAACATATTCCACATGATTCTTTGAAAGAACAGTGATTATTTCATTCAAGAGCTGGTCTGGATTCAGTAGCTGAGTGGAGGTAACATTGTAGTGTGCCTAAAAGTTAAAAAAAAGAAAAAAAAAATCTTAGAAAAGTTTTCATAAAGAAAGCTTCAGAACAACTAACCATAGTGAAAAATGCTCCAACTTCCCAATATTATTATAATGAACCCATTGGGGTAGCAACAGGAGCACTAAACAACTGCTACACAATTAATATCAAAGCACATCCAAACCAGAAAGCATCATAAAATCCAAAGCAGCAGTGCTAGGCCAGGGTGGCTGTCAGAAGTCTTGTACATAACCAGAGGTGGTTCCTGGAGTGGGCTAATGAAGACAGTCAGATGGCTGTACTTAAAGCACCCTGCAGCACATGCCACAGCCCTGAGATCACTTGCAGTGTCCTGCCTCACTGAAGCTGAGTGCTCCTGGTACCAAGGAACAGGCATGGCAGTATGCAGCTCTTCTAGGACCAAAGCACCACAATGTTTAAAGAAAAATGGTAACTCACAACTCAAACATATTGCACCTAATATGTCATATAATGCACTTGGCTGGTAAGTGACTTCTTGAACAACTTTCATGCACCCATATGCAACAAAAGTGCATGTCAACTATAATATGACAAATGCTCTATCCAGCTTCTGAAGTCTCAGAAGCAATTGAAAGAAAACAACCATAAAACAGCTTGAGAAATGAACACAGGTTGAAGATGCAAGGTCAGTTTAAAAGTGTGGTTCTTACAGTTCTCATTCAGCCTAAAACATGAGTAACTGCCTGCCATTAACTGCTGTAACACTGTGAAATAAAGTTCTAACTTTCCCTGTTGTACTCCAGTGTCCCTAGACATGCATCAGTAATTTTGCACATACTATGGACAAAGCAAACTGGTGTGGAAGGATAAAAACTTTTAGAGACGGAAGGTTTAGCTTTTGTTTCCATTGCCCTGGTCCCTGAATTATTTGCAAAGTCCGGACTCCTGTCCGACAAGTTGGTCAGGTTTGCAGCCCAACATACATCCTGAACTTGTAAGAGTGACACTTGCTCTGACAAGTGCCTCTTGGAAAAGCTGCCAACTGCAATACAGTAGCTGAATTCCATTTACACAGACTGCAAAACACAAAATGGTCCTTCTACTCACAGACAGCTCTTACTGTACATCAGGTGTCTTAAGAGCTGCAGCTTGAGGAGCCAGTCAGCTGAAAGTATACATCACATTTTTATGGAACTGTTTATACCTCAGTAACAGTCCTGCTCTTTCATGTTAATCATGTTTTTCAAATATGTCATCTACAGATTCAAGTATAAATTCCTCCTTAAGTTCTGAAGTGTGTTAGTTGCTGTTTGTGATGTGTACAATTCTGTTCAGCATATTAATATCACATCAATGCATAAGAGCAACTGCACTTTACTGCAGAATGCAGGCAAGTGACATCACGGAAGTTTTCAATTCGCTTACAGACCTTTTCTAAAGGTATTTGATGTTTTCAATCACACTTCCAGCAGCATACCTTAAGTTTCCTTGGGTGATCTCTAGTGGAGCATTTCTTTTTGCTTGGTGTAAGCATTGTGATCACTTTATCTAGGCTTCTTTCAAGACTTCCAAATATTTTGGTTTTTCTCTTCTTTTGGCTGCTACCCACACGAGTTAGGTCCGTATCTAATTCCACAGAATGACACCTGTTACATGAATGAATTAATCAGTTATTCTTTGTCCGTATTTTAGACATCAGTTACTTCAGATACATCACTAAATTATTCCAGAACTGACAGAATGAAGAAAACTAAAGCAAGTGCAGTGTAATATGAGAATTTTTGTTTGAAAGGCAGTTGAGATCTAAACCCAGAGATGTATATAGAAACTGTAGCTTGCTGGGGAACTGGAGTAAGAAGGAACTTACACTATGAAGACAGGAATATATTCTGCAGATAATTGACTACCAAAGTCTTAAAACTCTTCTCTGCAATCAGTGTTTTCTATCAAATGTAGAAAAAGGTTTTAGGAAGTATTATACCAAGACAATGGAAATAACAGCTTACTGTTGTAACAATGCTTCCTAGGCAGTACATGGATTAAGGTAGTCCTCTTCTAAATCAAAAGTGCACACAAATAACCAGACATTCACCTTTTTTTGGGAAGCACCTCAGCTGCTGTCAATTCATTTGTGTTCCTCAGGTTTCTGGTTTTCTCAGCTGGGGTGACTCCAGTGAACTGATTCTCTGGAAGAAAGCATCCAAGCCAAAGCAGGTATGTTTTTGCATAAAGGATTTTGTTTTCTTCAGAAAGGTGTTTTTGTGATTAATACTTTATTTCTAAAAACAGCCTTTTCTTCTAACTCAGGTCTGTATCTTCGGAGTGATAAAATAAGTTTTTAATATCATAATAACACTACTCCTACTTTACAAGTTTTACAAGTAAAACTGCAACTGTTTTCCCCAGGGCTCTACAAGTCAAGGCTTAGAGTGAATAATTCAGTACAGTACTATGAATTTGGAAATGCCACTGGAACCAGAATAAATACTCAGCAAATTACTGTGTCCAATTGTTACATTCTTTACCAAGCCATTTTCCTTATATGAAGAGTCTAAGTTTATGCAGCCATGTTTAGTAATTCACACTACATAATGGCCTAAAAAGTTCTTCTACCCACACATTGACAGATCTCCAGAGCATGGTTTTGAATGTGCAGAAGCAAACACCAAGTGCAACAGGGAGCAAGTGAGTTTTTACAATTAAACCCAACTTCAGCGTTCAAAATTTCAGATCTCTACAGAATTGCACCTGGCCCCAAACAATGCTGATCCAAGTTCCAATGGATACTTGCTATTAGTATTAATACTATCTGTCTTGAATCAAAGATCTTTCAGTGAAACAAAGAATGAGCTTTTAATTGTTTAATCCTCAGAAATACCTCACTAAAATGAGCTGAAACAGTGTTTCTGCATTTCCCACTTCAGAAAGAATACCTACTTTTGCTTTCTAAACTCACCATGAAGTCAAATTTCATAAGTTACCTCATACAACCTTAAAGGGGAGAAAGAAAAAAAAAACAACACAACAAAAAAAATCAAGCTCATAAGTAACTTGGCGTTTTAGTGAACTCCTTAAAGCCTTTACAAAGGATGTCATTGAACAGCAGTACATCCAAGATCCCTTATAACTTGAGTCAGCCTGCAAAGACTGTTTCTTAACAACATTCCTTAGCATCTAGAACAGAAGAGCCCCTTATTATAGGGAGTCCTTGGCATTTGAAGGACAGTTTGCATTTACAGTATCAACACCAAAGCTTTTATGTTGAACAGAATAGCACTGTACACACAGGAGCCATAATTTTTCATAAGAATGGACCAGTCAGGCTGAGGACAAAGTTCTGGTAACTCAGAAAAGCTGACAATTTAGACAAATTTGTTGTGTATCCATTACTGTAAGATCTACACCGTTGTTAACATTGTTACGTATATAAGTATTTTCACTGGCACATAGGACTCGTTACTGTGAAAATGCTGATATGATACCATCAGAAATGCAAGTTAGATTTCTCTTAGAAGTACCAATAAAAGCATACTTGACTAAAAGTATACCTTTATTTTCACTCAAGGTAATAACAAAGAAAAAGAGTGTTAAGGAACTTGTGTTCTCAGCCTTCACAGAAAAGTGGAACCAGATGTAATTTCAAGAACACAGAACTTGGCTCCACGTCGAGAGCATGCCAAAAGGCATGCATGTGTGACTCTAAGCAGCTATGACTTCTGTAATTAACATACAAGTAACATGCCCTGATATGTGGTTAAACCTCTTGCAGCACCTTACCAGAGTTACTAGAACAACCAGGCTGGTGAATACAGGAAAAAAAGTTAAATCTTCCAGAAACAAGCATTGTGTTCGTATTTGAATTTACAGTAATTCCTAAGCAACATGTATGTTCTAAGTTTTAATTAGTTAAATGCAATGTACCTTTGAACGCAGCTGCCTGAAAGGGTATAGTTTGTAACTGTGTTTCAATCTGATGCTTCGCAAAAGGAGCGTTTGGAGCAGGAAGTGCAAATGCGCTCTCAATACTTAAAGGTGACGCTGTATCAACATTCTCTTTGATTTCATGCTTGTTTGATGCCATTTTCCTTGTCACTGGAGTTGACAGTGTGAATTCTGTACCATCCAGCTGAGCATCATGCCTTGAATGCTACAAGAGAAACAGCAAAGAATGTCTTTGGTTTATTTTGTTGTATTCCAATCACATTCAGAAAGGTAAGAGACAAGGCAATTCTAAAATTGGAGCAGGTTAAAAATACCATACAGTGTTTGCCTACTGAGCAAAATAGATACAAGCTCTTCAATACTTCTGATTAGTTCAGTAACTTGAGATGTTTATTAGTAATTTGCCATTTGTTTATCTGCTGTTCTAAATTTTTTAGCTTGCTCATCTAAGACTATTCCTTACCAACTCATATGAACACAGGTAAGAATTTTCATTTAGTTTAATTGTATAATTCCAATTGTTTCATCGGATTTTCTTGTCCAATACAGACAGGTTGAGCTTTTTCAAAGACTTGTACAACTCTAGCCTAGCTCTGAGATCTCGTCTGCTGTACCTTATTGTTTTCCCATCCATTTTAAAATCTTCATTGCCTCATTTATTCATTCCTTAAGTGCAATTTTTATGCAAATCGAATGTCAAAGCTCAAGTTCTCATCAAATGAATCATGACCTACAGCTAGAGAATCACAATTTGTGTTCAATTATGTACTTAAAACATTTCTTCACTCTGTTTGTAACTCCCTTTGGCCAGGGTCCACTAAACACTTAAGTACATAGCAAGCTTTATGTACATTGACAGATTTTTTTGATTAAGAATTTTTTTTTAAGGAACTAGTACTTATTCTTCAAACACCTGCTTTATTCTGTGATTATTTAGAATAAATTCTTCTAATGGAGGCTCTTCAAACAGCGAAGCTGCATCAGAAAATTCCATGGATCCAAATGCATATGGCACTTCACTGCAGTTTGGAGTATCTTCATATATCGTAGTGTTTTCAGACTGAAAAGAAAGATTCAGTTAAGATTCCACTGCATGATTGTAAGTAAGATTTAATCAGAAAAGTGTTATTAAAATATAAATCTTATAATTAGAAACTGAAAAATGGTAAACAGCTAATGGAAGTTGAGTTAATGAAAGCCAAGTTTTATAATATGACTTTCATATTGTCATTGTGGATTTGTCATTTGTATCAAAAGCAGATGTGAAATTATTGTCAAAGCACCATTATTACCAAGTCATCTGTCATGACCTGTGTCAAGAGAAGTAACTAGCAAAAAAATCCTGCCTTTGATTTCAAGACTTGAATCATAAGCTCTTTTCACTGGAAGCCAAATAATAAGCTGGAAAGTACCCAATAAAAGAATGCAGTAAAGTCTGAAAGGGGGCTGGATAAAGGTAAATACATTACATCCAAAACATACAATTCTAGAATCTGCAACAGTATTTGAATTAGCACCCACAAACCTTCATCTAATTGCTAGACCTGAAAAAAAAGTAGTTTATTAAATCACAGGATTCGTTACTTCAGCCGAGACTGCTAACCCTCATGGCCCACATCACACATAGTCAAGATGTGTATCACAGCCAAGAAGCTAACAGCCCAATATTGTACCTGAAATCATGTTTCATTACCACGTGAATGCCTGAATAGAATTCCTTGCCTACCATGTTTCAGATGAAATTCATGCCATGGTGAATTTTCTGGAATACCTTTCTCCATCAAATTGCTTGAAATAAGGCAGTATTACGTACAAGCTTGTGCCACCCAATTCAGAAACTGACTAAGTTATAAGTTAAAGGTTCCCTTTTGCTTGGTTGTTTTCATTAGACTAGCTCTCACTAGAGAACTTTGTTAGTTGGGTACTTCAAATTCAGTTGACATTCACTCACAGTACCTACATGCAGGTAAAATAAATATGTCCCCAGTGCTTTAGAAAGACAATGGACTGTTGTCTTCTACAAGACATTATCTTCACAATCAGCTGGGAAGGCATAATACATACGCTAAACTGGAAATCTGTCATTAGCCAGATCAGTTTGCCTAGGACACCACTAGAGATGAAGTTACTTCACAGCGTCAGCACTGCTAAACCTAGAGAAACTCTACCTTAAAATCATCTGAGTGCAGAAGACTAACCCACTATGATCATGAAAATCACATTACACATTCAGCAACAGTTATGATTTGTGATCTGTTACACAGTGCTGGTAATTCTAAAATTGTCATCTGTGTTTCAAAGCAGTTGTACAAGTGAACTGAAATTATTTACATGCCATTGAATCGGCTACATAAGTATTCATTCTGAGTGCTTATCTCTATGCAGAGAACAGCACATCCAGATAGCTAGCTAACAATTTTACACAGGCACCTACAGTTCAAGGGAAAATGGCTAATAGAAAGTCTGCCAATTTACTGAATGCTTTGAGTTTGTCAAATACAGACCAGTATCAATAACATCACATACAGCTGCACATCGTATATGATATTGTAAGCAATTTAGTAACTTTAGACAAGTTCTGAAGTGCCCTATTTGCACTTTGCTTCAAAACCACAGGAACAGAGATTACCAAGAGATAAACAGAGTCCTTTCTGGGATTGTGTTCTGAGCAAATGAGGAAGGAAAAGGTCCCTCCCTTTAACCACCACTTTATGTAGTGTCCATGTCATCTCAGCGTAGACTGACCATGTCCATGTCCTGACACACTAGGACACTGGACTTGATGACCTTTGAAGGTCCCTTCCAACCCAAACTATTCTATGATTCTATGATGTTTCAGAAGACTTTCCTTACTAAACCATGCTAAATGCAGCTAGCAAGGTACAAAATTATTTAGACAAATATGAAATAGTGCAGTAAGAAGTGAGGCATCATAGAGGAAAATCTGGAATGATCACACAGGCCAGACAATGGGCAATTTTAGTCCATTTTCATGAGTAACCAAAAGGAGATTCTCTGGGGTACTCATAGTGCACCACGTCCTCCCAGGCAGAATTCCAGTAATGTCAATTCACAGAAGCAGCCCAGAGTTATAAACATTTTAATGAGGAGACTGAACTGTTTAATGACCAAGACTTTGGCTGTCTTCACACATGCTTGCTTACTGATGTTTAGGTCACCAGTCTGTTTTCTCAGGCAGGATTTTGTTAATGCAGAGCATTTTAATCAGTATTTTGTCCTGCTGAATTAAAGAACTTACCTCAAGGCCTGCTGATTGTGTTCTACTCGCATGCCCCTTCAGATGTGGAACTCTTAAGGAAATATGCTTGCCACGAGCCTTCTTTGATTGAAGCAAGAGATATGTTGCTGACATTTGGTCATATTTCCACTGGGAGAGGAAAAAAAAAAAAGGAATAAAGACTATTTCAATTTCCTCTTAGGAAACACTGTAAGTACAAACAAAGGCTAGCCTTCAAAAATTTCTGTGTGTTGCAAGTTTTTCTACCTGATGTGCATCCCTAATGTTTGATCACCTATGTGTAATTTCAGACTTCAGTTGATTCACATTATGTGTTCAAGATCAAGAAGCAGTCTTTGGCCATTGTCCTTCGCAACTCAAGTCTGTAGCACAGGCACTGGGGTGAAAACTAATGCTGGGACCACAATCTGTCTATAGAAGTGAATGGCAAAGGTATTAATACAGTTTGTCCAATACTTTAATGAGAGTCTCCATTTTTTTGGAAGCTGCTGTTCCTCTCTCCACTCTTGACCCACAGAAGCAACAAAAAATTGCATGTTTTTCAGCAACAGTCTACTTGCAACATGGGTAAAATGCCAGACTGGTTGGCAGCATAGTACAATTGGTTTCAATTTGTTATAAGAGATTAGAAGTCCTCCAGTAAAGGACCATGCAAACACCACAAAACTACTTGAAAGGACTTTTCCCTGCGTAGACAGATTGCTCAGATTATTTCCCATAACTAAAAAAACAAGTAGCATTAACTCTACAAACCCTTCTTAAGTATCACATGATTTAAAAGTTTGCTCTACATTTTAAACTGTTTCTACAACAGTTAACATGATAAAGTAACAGTTTCTAGAAAGAGAACTGTCACTGCTACCATGGGGGGGGGGGGGAATCAATTTCAAGGAAGAATTTTCAGATTCAAGTTAAAGCTGGAGTATACATCATATTTAAGTCTCTTCTACAGGCTGCAATGTCATTGCTAATATTTGTGCAATTCTTCTAGAAATTCGGTTCAACTTTAGTCATTTGTATTCAAAAATGACTAAACATATTCATAGTTTTAAAAACTGTGAAGAGTAACTCCAAAAAATATATATAGTCTGTCTGGGTGATGCTCTCATTTTTATCTTACCTCTTACTTATTGAACCATGTCAAAGCAAACAACCCAGAAGATGGCATCTGCTGTTTAAATTTCTGTCTAGTTGTGACTGCCCCATACCTGGCAGCGTTCAAGGCTAGGATGGACAAGGCTTGGCTCAAGCTGCTCTAGACTAAGGCGTCCCTCCCCCAAAATCATTCTATCATACTGTAATACTATTTTGGTTTTAAGAGATTTAGAATAATTTTACAATGATGGAAAATAACAGTAAGATTCAAGAAAAATCAGGAGCACAACTCAAGGAGGAAAAGGGGAAGAAAACCACAAACAACCAAATTTGAAATTTAGCAAGATATTTACAAGTTACATATGGATTCTGGAGTTCTGTAGTGGGTCATTAAATCTAGTATTAAAAATATCATAGTTGAGAATAAATGAGCATTAGTCTGATAATACAGTAAGCTTATTTACTATATAATTGTGTTTCATTACTGCAAAATATTGATGTATACTTCTTACCTCTGATATTAATTCCAAAATGCTCTCCCTGCTCTGTTTATGAAACACAGAAAGCTCTGTAACGCAATCTTCATCAAGATGTCCCAGCTGCAAGAAAATAACAGATACCGAAGCATGAGACATTCAAGTTATTTCATAATCCATATCTTACTGTGACACTGTCATAAACCCAGTGGGTTGAGTCAATAATCAACCATGATTTTAGACCTTGTATTTTAAATAATTAGCATCAGAGTGAAATATTGTAGGGAACAGACTGAAAATGTCATACAAATTCAACAACATCACAGTCTGGCCCCTCCTTTGTGAGAGGTTGTGAATTCAAATAAGAAAGCCTGACAGCAGATGAAATTTTTACTAGAATAGAAGCTACACTTTCATCTCTCCATAAGTATTCAAAGCTATCAGACATGCACATCTTTTCTACAGCCAGTTAGAACTGAGATGCTCACACAGTAAAGCTGCTCTTTACCTAGAGAAACAGTGGCATCCAGTGGCCAAGGTAAAGCACTGGCTGAAAATGTGTAGGAACTTCTCAATATTAATGACAGCTAGATTGCTTGTTTTTTTATTTGTTTGGAGTTTTCCCCCATACTGCCTTACTCTCTCATACAGTAAAACAAGCAATAAAAGGATTAACATGTTACTCAAACTAGCAATTTTCAGTGAGGACTAGATAAAAGATAAACCATAACCATATCTAACATGCTTTTCAGAATGCTTTTGCATTTTTCACCTTAAGTTATTGACCAAGCAGCCTGGAGAATCAGGTGGTCATTAGTACATGGAAATACTTCACATTTTGCTGAGAAGTCAGTTATTTTGCAAATTAAGCATCAGCTTAAGAGAAAGTAATAACATTTTGACAGCAAGAAGAATCAGAAAAGAACCATGACCATCTCAAAAGTTCATCTTCAGAGAAATGTCTTCACACCTCCATAATGGAAGGAGAGTAGTAAGCCAGTGAAGATTACATTAAATACTTCAGTATTCATCTGACAAGTGTACTTACTGGGTATTTACTTTGCCACTGAACAGCATCAGAATAACCTTGCATGAGCCAAGGGTGATTTAACAGATGTTTAACTGTAATCCGCTTCTTTGGGTCCACCTAGTGGCCGATAAAAAACAAGCTGATACATGAAGAACAATTTAAGAAACGATGTTTTCTACATGGAATCTTAGGGTAGTTAGAAGCTCAATTTGAGCTTCATAGCTCCACCAAAAGGAAGAACAAATGTATGAGCTGTGAAAAGCTGTTATTGTAAGAAAGAGTGGGTTACAATATGTTCCAGGAATGTTTAGCATTGGCTAGATTCTTACATGCAGCCCAAATGCATATCCAGCATGTCTGGCTTCATTACTGAAAAAAAAAAAATGCTATTCAAATGCTATACATAGCACAGTTAAGAACAACCAAATCCAGGCTGCTTGAAGACTTGGTTCAACATTGCATAATTGTTTCTGTATCAAACCATTCTCAGAATTTTCAGCAGAAGACAGTATTAATATTTCCCTCAAAAATTTGTGAGATTAAGCATCTTGTTTAAAACTGAGTATTTTTTAAGTATTTCATCAATGCAAAGTTTTGACCTATGCAGTCATACTTTATAGACTTACTGAACAGAAGCGATACCTTTACCTGCAGCATTTGGTTAAGTAGTAGCGTACTGCTAGGAGAGAGCCATTTTGGAATACTGTATTTTCCTCTCTGCAGAAAAGAAGAGAGTTTAGAATGAACCTTGAACAGCTAGCTCAAAAGAAACTGCTAACTTATTTGGATGACAGCAACATCTGTATTTGGTCAAAAAGGAAAAATAGAAGGCACATGCAAATTTAGCTTTACAAATGACTTGACTAAATGTAATGGTGGTCTTAAAACCCCATGGCATTAGTACAGAAAATCCTATGTTTGAATTATTGGCTGCAGTTTCCATCCACTCAGCTTGTGTGACATTTCAATTTCAGTCCACTTTTGCAGCTAATCTACTATTTATATATTGAATTGTTTCATCAAATCAACTTGATATTGAAGTGTTAGCAGTGCAAGCATGTTGGAGCCTGAATGACTAATACAAGCACTTTGAAATGTGAATATTCATTGAAATCATTACTTTTCAGACACTAAAAACCAAACTATACTCATCATTTAGCTATTCTTTTCTTTTTAAACAGGTTATATCTCATGCTAGGGTTTTGATAACTACTCAAACTGCAGAGAAGAAAAATGTTACAGATCTAGCAGGTAAGTTTCTTTCAATCAAATTATTTAGTGTGTGTGTGCGTGAGTAATGCTTGATTAGAAGAAAATTGACAATGGCTTTCAGATTCAAGACACAACAGTAGATAAAAAGCAAACCAAATACACCAAGGACAATTTGCATCTCAATGAAAATGGAGAAAAGAATAGAAATCAGTAAATAACCTATTCTTTATAATAGTCATAATCATCAATTTGTCATGGCAGTTTTCTTTCTACAAATAAATGCCTCAATAACAAATCAGCTGGTATTATACACAACATACATTTCTAGGTAGAGTATGCCTTGCTTTAACATCACAGGTTAAAAAATCTGAGTTACTTATTTACAGACAGTACTAATGAGCTATTTTAAATAGTTTGTAGGCTGTTTCACAATGCAGTTTTACTCTGAAACCAAGTAACACATGCAATCTGCGTTTTTAATACATTGCTACAAAACATGAGACATGGAAAAACAAAAGTAGCAACTGCTGGACTGATGGTAATGCTAGAAGATAAATGGCTTGCTAAAGCTACCAGATGCATAAGATCACACCAGAAATAAGTTTTTTTTTTTTTTAATCTGTCACATATTTGATTTTTCATTCAAAAAGTAAAAGCATTTATTCAAGTGTTCCCCAATGAAGAGATGGGGAACATTCAAGGGAAAGAAACATTGTAAGTAAATCATACAATCCTAATTAGCTTCAAGCAGCAGATTATTACATTGACTTGGAACAACAGTTCTGACTTTACACTGTGATAGATTTTATTATCTATAATGTGTGACATTATACTCCACCATAGTGCTTAGTATGATCAGAGGGCTGGCGCAGCTCTGCTCTGGAAACAGGTTGAGGGAGCTGGGCTTGTTCAGTCAGAAAAAGAGAAGGCTCCAGGGAGACCTTAAATCAGCTTCCAGCGCCTAAAGGGCCGGCAAGAAAGCTGGACAAGGGCTTTTGAAAAAGGCAGGTAGGGACAGAATACGGAGAAACAGCTTTAAACTGACAAGGGGGAAGATTTACATTAGTTATTAGGAAAAGTTCTTCCCTTTGAGGGTGCTGAGGCCCTAGTACAGGATGCCCAGAGAAGCTGTGGCTGCCCCATCCCCAGCAGTGTTCAAGGCCAGGCTGCACAGGGCATGGAGCAACCTGGTCTAGTGGAATGTGTCCCTGCACATGGCAAGGGGGTGGACCTAGATGGTCTTTAAGGTCCCTTCCAACACAAACCAGTCAGATTCTGTGGTCCTCATTTCAAGCAATTTTCAGTTTGCAGTCACATAAAATTAAAACAAATTCAAAGGAGAAATAGCAAGCCTACATCTTAACACACGTGTGACATTATTGGTTTTTGACTGCACCAAGACTAACTTTTAGAACTTGGTCATCTCAGTTCAATTAAAAAATTTTCAAATGGCCAACTTCCTGTTAGTCCAAATAATTCAGCACCCAGATCCTGTGCATGTTAGACAACTGCAGGTATGCAGAAACCATCTGTGATGATCTTAAGATCTCCATTCCACATCTAAGGTCTCTGTTCATGCTTTGACTATTGACAAGTTTGCCAGTTATACTGGGCACCTTGGTGTAATGTCCAGCATAAAGGATTTGTCGTTCTACAGAAGTATGATTATAGATGGACAACTCCTCATTGTATACTAACCTTATCAGCATACAACCCAATTCACACCACAAGCAGATAAGGTAGCTAAAGTCTGACGGTCTAGGTGATTCACCCTAAACAGTGATTTTGCTGAGAAACTGCAAGTGTTGCTAACATTATCTGGACAACACTAAGACATTATGGTTTATTTTCAGGTAGTACTGTGAGAAGGGAGTTGGAATCAGTGATCCTCACGGGTCCTTCCAACTCAAGATATTCTTTGATCATGCAAGTAGGAAATTTGTATCATTTTAGTGGTGACTTACCTAAATATCATCACCTTTACACGATCTCTTTGCATCAGTTAGACATTGCCTTTTTTTTTTTTTAAAAAAAAAAAGGTCTTTAAAACAGCTTAAACTGAGCTTCCTACAGATCTCCTGTCAAGCTGCCCATGTCCACTCTTCAGTTCCAGACTAACAAGTCATACTGTGTGCTGAACTAATCCTACTTTTTAGATAGCTCTGACAGCTACACACCCAGAAAAACTCCCTGTGTAGACCAACTATCAGCTGCCTCCTACCAGAGTAGTACTTGAACACTCTTGAGTTTTTTGGGGGGGGTCTGGTTTTGGGTTTTCTTTTTGTTTTTTTTTTTTTGTTTGTTTGGCTTTTTGTGTGTGTTGGGTTTTTTTTTGTTGTTTGTTGTTTTTGGGGGGTTTTGTTTATTTATTTGTTTTTTAGACAGAGGACACCCTGGGCAAGAGAAGGAGAAAGAAGTACAGGAAGCCAAAACCCTTAACCAACACTGCTGCTCCTCACCCCACTTACTTTACTGGAAGCTTTATCAACGTAAATTTTATGGCAGCTTAAAAGTGCTTGGTATGTGCACGTATGATGTGGAATAGCAGCTGCTTAGCTGCATCAAGAGGAGTTTACAGGGAAACAGAACCAACTACTAAATTATATTACTTACTATTTATTCTCCTTTTTTTTTTATGCTGATTATGGTGTCTTACATTTCCTCCTCACTTTGGAGGAGGAAAGCATAACAGCATATGCAGAATCCCACTTTTCCAAGACATGAGAATAGTTGACATTTAAAAATATTATTTTGGGTGAATCAAATGATGTATTTGCAATTCTATCAAATGCAATACAGGAGAAGCCACATAAAGGCTCATGCAAAAAAAATGCCACCCACCAGCAAGAAAATGTTGCTCCTGAAACTCCATTTCCTATCATTTTATAGCATCAAGAATACTGCAAACGCTCATCAGTAAAAGATGGAAACAAACCCACAAAATACTGATAGGAAAAGTAGCAAAGTGTAACATAATTCAGTAGATATGCCTTTTTGCTCTAGACACAGCTCAACAGGTCCTGCCATCAGAAAAGCAAAGGACTCTCATAACGCTTAGAAATGTCTGGTTTTAGTGTATTCTAGCACCATCAGTACGTACCATTATCTTCCTGTAGACAGCCATGACATTGTCATCATCAAAAGGGAGATAGCCACACAGCAGAGCATATAGCAGTACTCCCATACTCCAAATATCTGCCTAAAAAAACAAAATTTGTGGAAGTTCATGAACCTGATCTATCTAAAATGACTTAGAGACAGGTAATAATCTCTTTGGTAAAGTCCACATACAAGTCATGAAAAGTAGGCTCCTTAATTCTGGACAGAATTCTTACATTGCAAGTGAAAGCATGCAACCCAAATTCCATTTTCAATTCACTCAAGCTAGAGCAATAGTAAAACCAACATCCTCTTCCCAGGTCATCAAATTGCTGCATTACCTTCAAGGATTTTGTTCCAAAAATGAAATCAAACTCATCACAAGAAATTTCATACAGTAACATTACTGATTACAGCTGTCAGCAATGTTACAATCAACTTTAAGGCCGCACTGCTTCTTTGTATAAGCAATGCTCATTTAGCCCATAAACAAAAAGGTGGTTTGAAAAGCACTGGACTTCATGGAGAACAAAACAAAACAAAAAAAGAAAGCAGGAGCACAAGTACAGCAGTGCAAAGACTTACTCCATCCAACAGCAGAGCCATTTAGGAAGTTTGAGGGGGACTGCAATTACAGTATTTTGAATGCATTGACAAAGGCAAGTAGCAGGTCCTGATGTTCCAGACATGGAATCAAAGCTGGATAAACTCCACCTTTTTTCTTCTCTCAAATTTTACTACACTGTGCAGTACAAAGAAAGCAAGGTTTCATGCACAAATTTCCAGCTAAAGACAGGCCTGATAAAGCATACAAGATACTCAGACCGCAGAAATTTGCAACAGGAGTTGGGTAATTAACAAACTAATTGCTACTTGAAAGGATGTGAGTATAAGGAAGGAGTTTTACTGTTTTGTAGGTCACTAAAATATGGAGCAACAAATAGAGATAGTGAAGGATTAGTCAGAGCCAGCTACATGATCTGAGCCGAAGAGCACTATGTGCTATTCCAAGCTGTGACCATTGTGGTTAGTAACACAGCTTCTGAGAACTACTGAGGTTTTCCAGTGGTATTCAACAGAAGAACCAAGTGAGCATATCTGAACTTCACCACCTTTAAATACATGGTGGGAGAAGTGAGGAACAACTTACCCAGAACTGTGCTACATACCTCTGATCCAATATATGCTTTGCCCTGAATCAGCTCTGGTGCTGCATAAGCAGGGCTTCCACAACATGTGTTCAGATGGTAATCAAGGCCACCCTAGAATAACATAGGAAATCAATCACACAGAAGAACTGGCTTTAACAAAGCTTAAGTCTTCTAGCAACAACCTATTAGAGGCCTGAGGTCGTGCAACTACATTCACATTGTATTTCGCTTTGGCGTGGTTCACTAGACCAAAACCGTCTAAGAGCATGAATATCTATAAACATTCAGATCCCAAGCTGCTCAATCACCTATTACCCTAGCAGTCTTTTCTGCAGCTCCTTTTCTCGTAAGAATACTTTCCTTTGTCATTGAAAAGAGAAAAGAGATGAAACCTGAGGAAAAGTGACCCATGCTCATGAGGCTAGCTGGTTATTTATAACAATATTTAATGCAGTAAAATCATGTAGAATCACCAAAAATACTTGTCATTTCTTTTCCTGGGCTTTGTCTTTGTCCTCTCACTTGTTACTTGACAGAAGAGATTGACCCCTGCCTGCCGGCTCCATTCACCTTTCAGGTAGTTGTAGAGAGTGATAAGGTCCCTCCAAGCCTTCTTTTCTCCAGACTAAACCCCCAGCTCCCTCAACTGCCCCTCATAAGACTTGTTCTCCAGACCAGCTTTGCTTCTCCTCTCTGGACCCATTCCAGCACCTCAATGTCTCTTTTGTAGTGAGGGGCCCAGAACTGATCACAGAATTCAAGGGAAACAATTGCTGCCCTGCCACTGCTGGCCACACTATTTCTCATAAAGGTCATGATGCCAGTGGCCTCCTTGGCTGCCTGGGCACAAGCTGGCTCACGTTCAGCAGCTATCAAACAGCACCCCTAGGTCCTTTTCCAACAAAATAAGATGACATTATATCACCAAGATGATGGTAATGATTGCCTGCAGAATGTTCTAAACTGAGTCAAGTAAATCCACGTTGAGGACAAGCAACTGTATTTGGATCAGAAAGACTTTCTTCCTATTAAATTGTTTCTTAACAGGACCCACCTCACACATTATGCTGACAAATAGAAAAAGCTCCTAGAAACCAATCTTAAACTCAGAAAACAACTCAGTACAAGCATATGGAAGCAGAGGATTTGTAATTGTAACTGGAATAAACTACTTGATTTGATCCACACCTACACATATATACAAATCTTTTGCAAAAAAAGTTAGATGACAGCTAGGTAGGCAGCTTGAATTTAGGGCCTTCGAGCAAGTCTCTGCATTGCACTCTGAAATCAAACACGCGTTTTTACATGCGTGCCGTAGTTGATTTGGCCCTACTCTGTGAAAACAAATGATACTCTGTCGTGGTTTAAACCCAGTCAGGTAATTAGTTCGCTCACTTCCCCCCCCTTTCTTGCCCTCCCCCTGCTCTCGGAGGGACGGAGAGGAGAATCAAAAGAATGCAACTCCCACGGGTTGAGAGAAGAACAGTTTAGTAACTAAGGTATAACACAGATCACTACTGCTACCACCAATGATAATAATGATAAAGGAAATAACAAGGGAACAGAATACAACACCTCACCACCCACTGACCGATAACTCGCCCCCCAGGCCCGACCAAGCTCCGACCGATACCTCCTCCAACCCTGCAGTCTCCTAGCCCTTCCGGCTAACTCCCAGTTACATCCTGGGCATGATGTGCTGTGGTATGGAATAGCTCTTTGGTCAGTTTGGGTCAGGTGTCCTGTCTCTGCTTCCTCCCGGCTTCCCCTCCTCCCTGGCAGAGCATGAGGCTCACAAAGTCCTTGGCCAAACCAAAACATCCTTTTATCAGCTCTGTTCCCAAGCTGAAAGTCAAAACACTGCACTGCACCAGCTACCAAGAAGGAGAAAAAATGACTGCTACTGCTGAACCCAGGACATACTCTTACCTTTGGCTTTGCACAAAGTCCAAAGTCTATCAGCTTCAAATTATGTTCCTCATCAATCAGCAGATTTTCCTGGTAAATGAGAAAGTAATAATGAATGCTTCTATAATCCAAGTAACCAAGAAACCACATTTTCTTTCACCTTATTTCTTCCTGTCAGTAGCAGCTAGAATTTCATGGAATGTTCAGGTTGGAAAGAACCTTAAGATCATCCAGCTCCAACCCCGCTGCCATGGGCAGAGACACCTCCCACTAGACCAGGCTGCTCTCCCATGTTTTGAATTTACCTAAAGCTCTCCTCTGGAGACTGTGATTGGTTGCTAACAAATATATCCCATGTTCCAAATGGGCAACAACAGTTTGCTGAGAAGGGCCTGGGGACAGCATTGACAGCCAGCAAGCTGAACACTGGGCAGCAGTCTGCTCTGGCAGAAGAGCAGCCAGCAATATCACAAACTGTATTAAGAGGACCACAGCTAGTTAATTCAGGCAGGTTACTCTAGTCCTCTGCTCTGCATAGCTAGAATACTGTATCTAGTTTCTGCCCCAGTACAGGAAAGACATCAAACTGAATAAGAATGATGGATGGCCATCAGCCTGCTCAGGGGGCTGTAGCACTTGCTCAATGAGAGAAGGCTGAAGGAAAGACATTCGTTCAGGCTGTAGAGGAGAAAGCTTCAGTGCAGACCTCACAGAAGCCTTCTACTACCTACAGGAGCACATGAAGACAGAGCTAGTTTCCTCACAGCAGTGCATGGTGGGATAATGACAGACAAGAGGCATCGAGAGACATTCAGACTGGAAATAAGGAAAAGCCTTTCTCCTCATAAGGACAGCAAAGAGATGAACAGGTTGCCCAGAGAGACGGCACTGTCTCATGCCAGGAAGATGTGACCGGACAAAGCCCCAAGAAGCTTGGTCTGGTGCTGCTTTGAGCATGAGGTTCAAGTTGAATCCTCTAGAAGCCAGCTCCCACCCAGTATACCACATGATCCTGTGAATAGGCCAGCTCCTACAAAAAGGTACATACAAGGCTTTGGAGGCAGTTTTCACAAGCTGTCAAGGAAAATGCTTGGGCACTAAGAATTGTTTTTTCTCAGATGCCAGGGTCTCTAAAACTGCAACTGTGGAAACCCTTGAAGGGGAAACGGACTCAGGCCTTCCACACCCCAAAACAATGCTTCAACTCTGCAACTACAGCAGTGCCACAGGACGGGCCCAGTAGCATGCATCATCCCCTACACCTTGTATCTACACACCACTTGTTTCAACTACTGGTGTCCCTTTTGCCTTTGGGCATGAGAACAGAACACTCTGCACAACAGAGCGGCACCACAAAGACTCTCTCCAGCTATAAGCTGGAATAAAGGAGAAAACAAAACAGCCAAAGCAACGTTCCAAGTCAGATTTTTTGCTTCACTCCCAGCTGGGATGTGTTGTTCAGCCTCTTTTCAAAAGGAAGCTCCTTCCTCAGACATAACCACACCCAGCCTAGCTGAGGCACATAGTAGTGAGTAGAAATAATGCTCTTTCAGAAGAAAGCAGGAGAATGGAGAAGGCCTAACTGACTCCAGCTCCTAAAGAATAAATTAATGTTGGTGTTCACTATGCCTTATACAAATCTGACGACTGTTCAGGCTTACTGGTTTGAGATCCCGGTGGGCATATCCCTGACTATGAACATAAGCAATTGCTGAAACAATCTGCCGAAAAAACACACGAGCTTCCTCTTCTGAAAGGTGGTCTTTAGAAATGATGTAGTCAAACAGCTCGCCTCCGGGACAGTACTGCATGAAGACAGGAAAAAGAGAGCACCTTTAGAACACAGTAATGAACCTAAATGTGCCCGAGAGCCCTGGGCAGCATTATAGGACACTCTTCCATTCCCTCTGCTTCATCACAACAGCAGCCGCCAAATACCCTAAGTCAGTGCTAGGGCAGACCAAACAAGCTGACTCCTTGGAATGGATACAGCAGTACAAATTGCCCAGGAGCCAATAACCACGCAGGAGTTCTGGGGACCCATATGTCCCATTGATGCTATTTTAAAAGAACAGAAGCACAAGGTAGTTATTAGTTATATTTAATTATTGATTAATAATAACTAAAGTCATTCCCGTAAACAGTGAAGGGCAGCTTTTACAAGATACAACATAGTAGATATTACCAGCTTTATTTCCAAACTGAAGCACCTTCAACATGCTCATCACTGACATCATTTCTTAAGAGTTGTTTCATTTGAGCTCTGTTATCATCTACCATGACAGCAAAACCCAGGAACATTTGCTGTGGCAGAAACACCATTTCTTACCTCCAAGACCATGAATATCTTCTTGGATGTCTCTATCACGTGATACAGCTGGCATATATGCTGGTGACTTAAGTTCTTCATGGCATCAATTTCTGTTTTAACACGAGGCAAGTCATCCTATGAGACCACAACAGCAAATTGTGAACTTGCCAACTACTTTGACAGATGGTTGGTACATCAGAGTAAGCACTGCGTGACACAGAGTTTCACAGCATAGATAGGACTGCATACAAATCAAATTCAGGCCAGTACCAGCCCTGCTGTTACCCTCCCACAGTTCTGGCACATGGATCAGCATAACCCAGAGGAGTAGATGTATACCTAGTACTCTCATCAGCATTCTCTTTCAGTTACTGTAATGTTTAACTTCCTCAGTTTAACAGCCAGAGAACCTTGCCCTCTTCATAGGGCAGCACAAGATTTGTGGTCTTTTGTTACAATTCTTTTAAGGCTGTAGCATCCCACCAACAGAACAACCCAGCAGAACAAGCAGGTGTCAATTCAACACGTCACTGTGTTCTTGAAAACTGCAGCAGAACAGCAGAAGATCACAGAATCATTTAGGTTGGAAAAGACCTTTAAGCTCATCGAGTCCACCCACTAACCCAGCACTGCCAAGGCCACCATTAAACCATGTCCTAAAGTGCCACACCTCAACATCTTTTTAACACGTCTTTAATATATGCAGGGACTGTGATTCCACCCTGGGCAGCCTGTTCCAATGCTTGACAATCCTTCTGGGGAAGAATTTTTCCCTAATATCCAATCTAAACCTCCCCTGGTGCATCTTGAGGCCATTTCCAAGATGCTATGAACTTTTAAGTATCTTTTGGCTTACCCCTAGAGCAAGTTTGTCCATGATTTTTATTGCAACTTTTTCACCAGTGAGAAGATGGCGTCCAAGTTTTACCTTTGCAAATCCACCTAAAATTCCAAAAAGAGACAAATTCAAAGCTTAGCATGATGACATGCGTTCTTGTCTGCAATCTTGGAGCTACATTGGAGTATGTAGCAGGCACAGCATGCAGCATGTTCACTTGAATAAGGGAATCACTACTACACCTTCTGAGTTTATTTTCAGAGTTCTGTTCCCCAAAGCCCACCCTTGAAACATGACCTATAGATTCTGTAGTAACAGCTGATCTACACTCAGGTAAATACTGAAGCAGTTAGACCACACGCATTTGTCTGCATTAACAGACTAAGCCTACCTGTTCCAATTGTTTCATGTAACTCATAGTACTTGAGAATCTCCTCACGGTCACCGACAGACATTTTGAGAGGTATGGGGATCTTGCACTTCTCAGCACCTGCAGGGAGGAAGCGTGGACAGCGGTCCTGATTCTCCACTCGGAGCGTACTCACACACAGAAAGCACATTCGCTGCAGCCTACACGCCTAGCAACAACTCCTCTAGGCAACGAAGTCCGAACATCGCAGGCTAAGGGCACAAAAGACCGTCATCTTCTAGGGACTTCTCAACAACGCCTAGCAGCGGTAGCAGGAACATTCCTGCTGCTGCCCCGTGCCCGCGGCCAGGGCCTAGCACCCCCGGGCTCCGCCCTACCGCCAGGGAACGGCGAGAGCCATCCAGTGATAACGGTGGCTGCATGCCGCTAGCGAAGGGGACAGCACTCACCTCCTAAGCAGCCACCTCCCGGTGCGGCTGTTACCGTTCAAATCTCCTTCCGCAGAGCCCACTTCCGGTCACGGCTGCCGAGGGGCCAATCACCGCGCAGCGCCTCACCGGAACAGGTGGGGCCGGGAGAGCGAATGCCGCCAGGGTGGAAGCGTGTGTCCTGCTACCTGGTAGCCGGCGGGATGGCTTCCACTTTGGCCGCGCCGGTTCCTAGAGATGGGAAATAGAGCCCGCTACCGCTGTGAACCCATGCTGCCTCCTACGGCCGATGGCGACGGGCGGGGGGGCTGCGCTGTAGGGAGTGTCGCCGCCTACAAGAAGGCTGCCGCGGCGGCGGCGCCTGCCGCTCCAGTGGGACTGTTCAGCATATAGAGGCTGGTGGAACATATTATTTCTGTAAATTGTCTCAGTGATGCGAAGGGTTAACCGATGTACGGGGGAGGGGGTAGGATTAAGCCGCTTAACGGTGTTACTGCTTACTCGTGCTTACTCAACAAATACCTGCTCAACACTTACCATGCTTGCCGGGAACAGGGTGGGAGGACCAAGGCTATTGATAGGCGGAACAGTAACTCCTGTTCTCTGGACCCCTAAATCAGCTCTGCGGTTTGGACAGTGACCAGATCACCAGGGAACATATGCAACAACTAGATGAAAAGTTCAGGGAAGACTCGTTTACTCCATCTTGAGATCCCCGCCTGTGACCACCAGGAGACTCTATGTAAGCAAGGACCTTTCACCTCATTATAACATGAAGCAGGGATAGGTCATGAATATGTATAGGCATGTTGTGTAACCTCTTAACTATGTAATAGTTTAGAGGATAAATATGAAGAACAATGCTGAGGTGCGCATGCCTTTGGAGGAGCTATCCCCCATGAGCCTCAGCGCTGAATAAAAGCATGCCTACTTTACAACTTTAACAAGTTGTGGAGTCTACCCACGTATCATCTGCTCTGCAACCTTCCCAGGCAGACTAAGTCTTTCCCGAATAAAGAGATTTACATTTCTGAGGATAGGGTTCCATTTTCTCCCCAGTGAAAAAAAAACTGATGTGGGAATCCAGAAGTTAAATCTGGCCTGTTAACTGTAATACTTCTGTGAAAACCAAAGGAAAGGGGGAAAAGCGGTATCTGGGTCTTGACCACATGGTGAGTGCTTTCATGAACCATGACAGACAAGTATTTTGCAAGGGTTTTTCTAAACATTATACTGAGGTTTAATTTACTTTTGTTTGTGGGTTTTAATTAATTCTAGGGTTTCTTCTGTCTTGCAATAGCCATTCAGGTATCAGCAGTAATAAATGGAAAGTAATAAATGAAAAATAAACAAATATTGTAATGCATTCTTAAAAACTTTATTAGTGTGACACAGGTTCTTAGTACAGACTGTGAAGTACAGTCAAAAGTCTAAATATCCCCTATTTAAATCTCCGGGCTGTCTCTGTCTGCAGTGCTACATACCAGAGTCAGATTTTGGTATGGAACATTGGCATGGCCTTCCTCTTCAAGCACATTGAGAAGCAGTACACACATGAGGAGAGAATAAACCACATGGAGGCACCTGGCCACCTCTGTGCGAGAGCCCGGTCTGCAACAGGCTTGCAAAAGGCACTTGCGCCTGTTCATTGCAGAGCAGGTGAACATGATGTTCCTTGAAGCACAAACAACTGCCCTACATTCCCTGCTGGAGCCTGAGGAACAGAGGCGAGGACTAGAAACAGTGCAAATTAAAATAAAATATTAAAATAAAAAGGAGTATGCCTGTTGACCTGAACTTCTCTGCTAATGCTTGTGTACCTTTATTTCCTTTGCTGTGATGGTAATTGTGGCATTATTACACTAGGATTTGTATTTGTTCAGTCCAGGAGACTCCTGAAATTACAAAATAACAGTACAGATACCACTGGAAGTAGAAACTTAGAATTTGTATCTGGTGTGTTTTTCTTGTTTTAACTACAATTAAGGCATCATCCAAAATACTTACTACTACATGTGCTTGATGAAGCAGTTAATCCCCAGTTTTTCAGTCTTTAGCTACCACACCTTACTTACAGTCTACCAGGAACTGGCTTGCAGAAAGAATGCACAGCCAGGCTGAGGATAACTAAAGCTCAATATATTCCAGAATACTTAATGCATTCACTGCAATGTTAAAAATGCTAACATATACAAATTCTTCTGAGATTTACAGGCACTATGTGGAGATTATGTGCAAAAGTCTGCAGTTTTTTTTTCTTTGGCATTGCTATTGTAAAATATAGTATTTCTTGCAAATATAAAGCATCCTTTCCCTCTGAAAACTGAAGAAAATTACAAAAATGTCTAAGTATATGAGTGTAATAAAATTAATGGCTGAAGTGGGGCAAAAAACCCCAATAAACCCCAAACCTAATACAACTTAGTCCACTACTGGGAAAAAAAGAAAATATGGAAAAAGACCAGCAAGTTTCACCATACAAAGACCACCCAGCACAACCATGCGTTTTTTGCATGAGCTTTTGTTCTTCAGGAATTATTATCCACCAAGAGAAAGAAGGTGTTTTATGTGATGCACCAAGAGCCTGGGGGAAAGAAAGAGGAAAAAAAGTTAAGAGTGCTCATCTGCTTTGAGAAAAATGTCACAAAATAAATCTGGGATGAATTATCAGACAGAAAGAAATCTAGGAAGACTTAATATCACAAGGCATTTGGTATTGTTTGAAAGTGATACTGCAGTGAGGACAGCTGCCTGCTGCAGACAGCAGTAATGATACATCTTTATCTTGCTCATTTGAGGTTGGTTGCCAAATCTCCACATAGGATTTTGCCACATACAGTCAATTCTCCTCCCAGGGGAGCCAGGACCACCTCTGCAGCCCAAGAAAAGCAGCTCCCCTCAGGTTCTTCAGGGTGCTAGAGCTGGGACACTCCTGGCTGGCATGTGGTACATGGATCCGGCCCAGGATGTGCTTCAGCCTCTCCCCTCCATGCCCCAGGAAACCCCCCAGCCTGAAGCACATGTATCAAACATTGAGGTGTAGTTAAGTGAATGCCCCCATGAACTAACAGTGATGATGAAAGACTCCAATTACTCTCTCTTACGTTACAGGTGTGATCAAGACAAGTACAAATAAGTATGTGGCATCAGGTGGAACATGTGCATAGAAGGAGGTTGTACTTGTGCCAGGAAAGCTGAGAGCAGAGCACTGAAACCTGCTCTACCTGCCAGTTTATCTGTGGGGATTTTTACACCTGCTCTGCCTGCTGTTCTGAAATTAACCGGATGCAGAAGTACTGTCAAGAGTCACTGTCCTAAAGATAAAAACAAGCAGCTGAGATGTGCTTGTTCTTCAGTAGTCTAAAAAGGTCTTACAGTGGAAGCAGAATGTCATGCCTTGGAATCCTCAACTGCAGAAACCTAAAGGAATGCACCTATGTATAAGTACAGACATAGGGTGTGAATAAAAAGTAAGGCTTTTTCTGCCCAGGAACACTGAGCTTCAAAGTCATTGCAAGTGTGTGTCTAACAGTGTCTCTAACCATGTCTAGGTTTAGTAAAAGGCTGTGAGCAAAACTTGGCTTCAGTAACACTCGCATGAGTTGTCTTTGCGATAAAGAGAAGAGAGAGGAAGAAATCTTACCCAATAATGTTAACGTTAGCTTTAATGTTAATGTTTAGCTTGTTTTCTGCTTCTCAGATTTGCTGCTGGAGGGCTGTCCTTTTGCCTGAAGAGCAAGAGAAGCGTAACAGTAAGAAACTGCAAACTACGTTTCTGAAATAAAAGTGACAGATACTTTTCAGAAGACACAGTTCAGACATGAGTATGATCTGCACTTAAAATGCAAAAAGTTTAGTAACTGTATTTGTAACTTCTGTTGTGTCTATATATTTTAATTTTTCCATGAACACTTTTATCTTTCAGATATGTCCTCTTCGTATTCTACTTCTGAACATCCTTTTACCCATGCTAGTGATCCAGTCACAACTCAGAATATTAAAAAATACATCCTTCTGAAAGGGAGTTAAAGACACACACCCCCCCCCCTTCAACATAAAAAATTGAAAAGCATTTCTGTTGTTACACAAAGGCATGTATACCAATTTCTAATACTGAAAAATGACATTACTTGAAATGTGAAACATAAGATTTCCCAAGCACATATTACCATCTGATTCAGGCACCTACCTGCATGTATCCTGTGAGAGAATGTGATGAGAAAAATCTATTTTCTGTATTTCTGGATGACAAAGGCCAAGCTAACCTTTTTTTTTTTTTTTTTCTTAAGTATATATAGAATCAACTGCCTTCCTTTTCCCACCAGATTCATTCTGCGTATTTCTTTATAAATAAAGGTAGGGCTTTATTTTTTTTTTCACAACAAATAATAATAATGTAAGAACAGACATGTGGTTGAAGGTGTATACCCTAATCGATTTTAGACTGCTGCTATTTAAAAGAGAAGAGATGTGGATCTAAGGCAACTGCAGGCACATGAAGTGTGACTTTAGTATCAGCAAATATGGGAATGAAGAGCTTGTGGAGCATGCACTGAGACCCCTGTAGAATACCATACTTTCTCTGAAAGAAACATATTTTAGCCCCCTTTTATTGAACATTTTCCATGTAGCAGAAAGGTGCTTTTCCCCTATGTATACGCTTACAAAAATAGATTAAGTTCAACCTATCCATGTAAAATTCTCCCCAGAGTAACAGCCATGTAATAGGAATCCAAAATCCAGTTGCCCGGGTTTCACATTTATAGTGTATGATAACCATGATTTTCCATATTATAATACATATCTTTCTACCGTTTTAGGGTCTTTGGGTTTTCCTTTAGCCTGCGGGGTTGGCTTAGTGGTTTCCTTTCCACTTCTGTCCTACACTCCAAAGAAAAAAAATAATTACAGTTACAAATAGAATAGAGAATTGATGGCTCCTACTTCAACACCTGCCATAACACATTTTTTTAAATGCAGCTGTTAGGGTAGGAGAGAGCCCAACACAGGATGCATGCAAGTAATTACTGCCACTAGTCCATGGCAAGGTGGAATCTGGAGCTTCATTTAATACTGGGGAGATGAGAGCACCAGAAAGGATACTGAGATAAAAAAACCTGGTATATGGGCATATTTTGTATTTACTACAAAGCAATAATGTTGCAACAGCAGATTTAGCAGATTCAGAAGTTTATAACCAAACAAAACAGCTCTTTAAACACCAACAGTTTGCCTTAAGCCATCTGAGGATTTGTTGTCAAGGTAAGCACCTGGGGAAGTACTGCAGAGGCCAGAATAGCTATTTGGAAACACAGGTATTTCCTCCCAGGAATTACATCTGATGTTAACTTCAGTTTGCAAACTGCTGCTTTTTGACCCCCGGGAGAGGAACAAACACATCATAAAAGCACAGATAATCATAATCAACATTTTAAGTATGCACAAACTTGTAATTCACTCTTGGTAACTGGGTTATGCTTCCATACTTGTGTCTATACAAGGGATTTAATTTTTAACTGCTAATATACTGGTTTGGCGAAAGATCAAAGATCTTGTAACATCAAGCTTTTTTTTTCGTTTCTCCTTGCAGGAAGCAGGCAGGGATAGGCTGGCAGAAGTCAGTAGCATGAGAGACAACAGCAGGCGCTTTACTCAGCTACAAAAAGTACAAAAAGTATTCATCATTTAAAACCATGTGTATCATTCCCTCTGTCTGCAGGTGAGAGATTAGGGCATAGGACAAAACACATCACATCACAGAACCACAGACTGGGTTGGGTTGGAAGCGATCTTAAAGCTCATCCAGTTCCAAACCTGTGCCACAGTCAGGGACACCTTCCACTAGACATGGTTGCTCCAAGCCCCATCCAACCTGGCCTTGAACACTGCCAGGGATGTGGCAGCCACAGCTTCTCTGGGCAACCTGTGCCAGGGCCTCACCACAGGGAAGAACTTCTGCCCAAGATTTCATCTCAATCTCCCCTCTGTCAGGTTAAAGCTATTCCCCCTTGTCGGGTCCCTACAGACCCTTCCCCCCTCCAGGTTTCCTGTAGCCCCTTTAGGCACAGGAGCTGCTCTAAGGTCTCCCCTTAAGGAGCCTTCTCTTCTCCAGGCTGAACCAGCCCAGCTCTCTCAGCCTGTCTCCAGAGCAGAGCTGCTCCAGCCCTCGCAGCATCTCTCTGGCCAACTCCAGACTCGCTCCAACAGCTCCACATCCCTCTTGCATTGTTGCCCCAGAGCTGGACACAGGACTGCAGGGGGTTCTCCCCAGAGCGCAGCAGAAGGGGAGAGTCCACTCCCTCGACCTGCTTCTCATGCTCTGAGGATGCAGCCCAGCACACAGGGGTGGTTCTGGGCTCAGGCACACATGGCCTGGTCATGGGGAGACTCCACGTATCAGAAAATCTTCCTTTTTCCAAACATTTAGTTCACAGCAAGATGCATGAAACTTCTATCACAGTAGTAAGACAACCACTTTGGACAGCATCTTCCAAAGAGGCTAGCTCAAAACCTAAACTGAGCTACTCCAGAAAGTGAAACTTCCATAGAGTAGTGAAAAACTGTTTATTTTCCAAGTTATTAGAGAAAATGTCCTACCTTTGAGTTCTGTGGTGTGTCAGGAGCCCTTGCACTAGTATCAAAGTCACCTGATAGGGCATCGATAGCTGCAGAGTCATCCACTCGCTTCTGCAATAATTTAAATTCTGAAGTCACACAATATGCAATACTTCCCACAGTCAACTTAATGTTTCAGGGATTTACGTCTGCTTTAATTATACTTCTCTTAAAAACAAAACAAAACAAAACAAACAAAAAAAACCAAAACCCCCTAAAACCAAATTATACCTGGGCTCTACACATACATTAGGACAGAGATGTCTATTTGAGGTTTACAAGACACAGTTTCTTTCAATACTGTACCTGAACATTCACATCATTAGTTGCATATAAAAACTATAATTATTGTTAATCTTCACAGAAATTTTACTATTCACAAAGTTACTATTACTTACTCCATTCAATAGCATTTATGAGAACCTGCAGTGAATCATGCCTTGAGCCTACAATGACACTACTTTGGAAAACAGGTCAGAGGACACAGCATACAACAAAGCAAAGATACCATAAATGTTACCTCTGGTTCTCTGTGTTTCACACTGCCCTTTGCTGTTTGCTTTACTGGTTTACCCGTGGGAAGAAAAAGATTATATCCTCACTTTGAACTGCTCAGATCAGGTTTAAGATACACGTATACTTATATATGACATTGGGGGTTTACAGATCATGAAGAAAGTTGATTTCTTTGTTTCTTGTGCTATGTACTCAAAGACAGTTCATGGTATCTTTTCATAGCCTGTTACATTTACAATATCATCTTTCTATGCAGTCTACTGGAAAAGCAATTTTCTGATCCAAAACCTACTGATCAAAACCTACTTTTTCTTGTTTTTTGAATTAAATGCATGCAAGGATATACAGAGCTACTCTATCTGTAGGATATTTACATGTTTAACACAAATACGAAAATATAGTACCCACTTCCTCAGCTTCCCTGTTCTTACAAAACCAACAAGGACAGACTGGCTCATACACACAGATTTATGGTGTTGCAAGTCCAAACTAACAAAGTTAACAAAACTAACTTTTCCTTACCTGCTCACCTGACTCCAGAAGTTCCTGATAATCAGGTGGGATGGTATCATCTCTTTCTCCAAGTTTGTCTCTGTGTTCAGATTTAGCCTTTTCCTGAAAGCATTTAAGTTTTTAACAACTGAATACTTATGATAGAAATATTAGCAAACAGTAGTCAAGAGTACGCAAATAAACTTGGGACAGAACCTTTTTTAAATTTAAAATTTTTAAACTATCAGAAAAAAACATATATATTTATTTCACTATGAAGTGTGTTTCATGCCTGAAAGTTTTAAAATTACTAGCTCTCAGTAAGTGTACCCATTTAGTAAGTTAGACATACGTAAACAGCAGCATGTCAAAATAAACAAAGAAGTCATGTCAGTTTTCAGTTTTGCTTTTCAACAATATGGCTAAAAGAAGTCATTCCACACTTCTCCGTCAAATCTCATCCATGCACTGTATCTTTAAAACAAAGCCAATGTTCCTGCAATGTCTTACCTGTGAATGCATCCCAGTACCTTCAGCAGAACACAGGCTATGTATCAGCCTCACACCCAAACTGATCAAGAGTGGCCTACGCTTCTCATCAGACTTCAAAGCCAGGCTCAGTTTCAAATCCAACACAACTCAAAGCCAGAGCAGCACAAGCTCTGGAGACTCCATCAAGGAGGGAAGCATTCCTTTCACTACATTTATTTTTCAATTTAAGCTGCACAGCTTTCTGACAAACATACCAGAAATGTACCAAACAAAACACCTGGTTTGCATACAAGTAGGTTTTTAAGCATACTGTTGAAGAGTACTTTTGTATTTGTTAATGAAGACATTTTAATTATTTTTTTTTTTATTTTTTGAACATAGGCATTTTCCATGCCTTTTATAAGGAACAACACATGAAGAAAGCTAGGCTCCCACAGCTCCACTGAAACACAGCAGCTGGTGTGAGATACACCACATCAAGCATTCACTCCTCTGCTATAGCAAGGGACAATGCTGCCCAGGCTGCCTACTGCCTATTCCCAAGGCAGCCAATAACCTCTGCACAGGAACCTGTCTGAGATTAATCTTCTTCTAGATTCCAGACTGAATTTATCAATGAGCATCTTACGGTGGGTTTGTTTTTTTTTCCCCAATAGCATCCTTTTTCTTAATTATTTCAGTTTACAATTTACTATTATGCAGAAATGTGCCTGATTTTCTTACTACAGGCAAGATCTTTATACAAGTATATGAAGAAAGACTGAATGAAGACAAAGCAAGCAGAAACAAGCAAGTTAAAAAATGGGACTGATTAAATGAAAACGTCTGTTGATGAACTTGTTTTTTATGGGGTTATACAAGTCCAAGTTTGACAAAAAGAAGGCTACAAAATTAATTTTTTTGAACAGACACCATAGAAGACACCTGGAAAATAATTAGAATAACAATAAAAGGCACTGAAACCAAATTATTGCAAATTTCCTGTAATATTTCAACACTCACCCCTAAGTGGCTAACGTATATTTATCTAATTCAACATTTGTCACAAAACACACAAGTAATCCAGTTGGCTCAAGAGTGGCTGATATGCCTCCATTTAGGACAATATAAAAGTATGTTGTTTTTTTTACTAGGAATCTTACTTCTGTATCTAAAATGACATACCATATGCTCCTATAAGTGTGTAAGACATACTGCAGTATTAAAAAATATATATAAAAAAAAAAAACAAAACATCCAACAAGTAAGGTACCTCAGATTTTGTTTGTTTGGGGTTTTTTCTTCTGTTAGGGTTTTTTTTCAGTTGTTTAGTTTACCCACCAGATTGCACAAGTTTCAGAATGTCTTCTGTTACCTTTACTTTGTCCACAACCAGTTTGTTCTCATCAGGGACAGGTTCCCTCTGTCCCAGGGAATCAGACAGGAGATCCAAGGCTTCATCCATCTCTTTCCCTCCCTAACAAAGTATAAACATATTCATGAATGCAAATCTGCTGTAAAAATAATTCAATTCACCAAGCTAATACAAGTACTGACTAATGAACTGTCAACTAGTGAACAATGACCAATCAGCTCTCCTTTTGTAATTACAGTGTAGAGCACTACTGGGGAAAACAATTACAGAATATTTGGACATACAGAAAACATAATTTCAAGAAGGGGTTATAGAATTTATTTTAATGACTTTCATTACACATAGGGCTAAACGATTTAATGAGAACAGTTCTATGAAAAGACTGGGTTTTGGCAAATGCCACTGATTTTGCAAACATCATTATCACTGCAGATTAGCTGTTAAAGAAATGTCAATCTGAATTAAAACCCATTAACATTTTTATCTTCACAATATATATCCTCTTTTGCTAATTCACACCAGCTCTATTCAAAAAATGGTTCGGAAAAAAAAAGCCCTTAAAACCAATAATAACCCAAGCAGGAGGAGCTTTATAGTCCCCTCTCAAATTAGGCTGGAAACACTGGTTAGTGCACAACTGCACAGATCAAAATGGGTTAAAAAATGATCCAGGCAACATGACAACTAAAAGCAAGGAAGGGAAGTTCTGGTATTAAAAGAAGGTGCTGGTGCTGCCTGTCCCTTCTTTAATCTTGAACTCCTCCTTTTAGAAGCTTAACAAATGACTTTGCTGCTATGGTGATTGGTGATGGCTACACTATTATTATTTTAAATGTTCTCATAATGTTCCTTACCTAACCAGGAAAAAAATGGTGTTCTGCTAAGGGCCCAAGCCTCAAAATGAAACCACTTGCGCATAGGTAACTACCTGCACTGACACACAGAAAGGAAATGCAGACATCCTACGATGTGCTCTGTAACTTTGTCCAGAAATTCGTACTTTCTCTCCCCCTCCCCTCCCAGGGGGAACATTTTCTTTCCTCCCACTTGCCATTACTAGCAACAAATTGTTTAACTGTGCAATAGTCTGTATTAATAAAACTGGTCAGATCATGCTTCCATCTCTCTTAATTAGTCAATTCTGAATTTCAGAATAGGATTTACAGAAAAGGTTGCTTACAGAGGTAGAAGCTAGAGGAGCTGCTGAGCGCACTAAAGAAACTGTAGCAGCAGAGACAATGTCGGAAGAACCTGCAGAATTTTTGACCTTCTTGGTTTTCTGAAACAAGACACAGCATCATTACTAACAGAGAGGTTTAAAATAAAAACATACATCAAATTCCATGCCTCCAAAATGCAATACCTGTCCTCTTTATTTCTAGGACTTTATTTTTTTTTCAAAGCTCTACTTATTTCAGATTGAAACGTCTTTCTGTGAAGCACTGCACAACTGTTTTGCATCTCAGTTTGCTCATGTTCAATCTTCCATCCCAGCTACTGGGTTAAACCTTGTCATAGCTTAAGTCAGAGACAGGTTTAATATACCTTCAGAGGAGCTAAGACTTCACCAAGCCCATCTATATTCTCAAATAAGACTTTTAAAATTCTCAACTGCAAAGCATTACTTATGCAAGCAGCTGTTAAAAGATGACAACTAACTTATCTATTTTTTTCCCTTATTATTAAAATACTGCTCTCCTATTAATTTGTTGCAAAAATATTTTAAATTTTAGTTACTGAATTTGATTAGAGAAAGTTTACATGAACTTTTGAGGAAAACATAACATATCAATTGATATCAATTGAAAATATCAATTGATATCAATTGAAAATATCAGTTGAAATAATCTGAAAATAAACAAATTTTCAGAAATCAAATATACTCACCTTTATTACAGTTTGTGTAGGTAGTGGTGCAGATGGAGATGGAGAATAGGAAAATCCTTCTGACAAACCCTCTAAAAGATCATTTTCACTCATAGGCTAACATTAAGAACAAAAAGAAGAGGCTTGTAAGCATTTTCATCTACTAAAAAGTGAGCAGGTAACATAGTCTATCTCCATTTTTTAACTGAAAACTGGGAAACCTTACTGACATTTGGGTAAGTAATTAATGAATGAAACACTGAATATTCACTTTTTTACCTGGGACTTTTCTTCTGGTTTTGGTAAGAGTGGTTTTCCTTCTTTATCCTACAAAACAAAAATCCCCATGTATTATACCAAGCAATCTTTAAATGACTTTCAATACAAGTACTCTGAGAGCACTCAGCAAACAGAAGAGTATTACACAAGAAAACGACCTAACTAAGCAACCTCTTCCATCTGTTGCTGTTACTCAAAGTGTCATCTAATAAATCCAGGTCCTGTAACTTCAAAATATCTGAGTGCTGGAAAGTGATTCAGTGTGGGATTCTGAGCTTCCCTACTTAATGTTTCAATTTCCACAGAAATAGCACAAGTAGTAAACAAAATACCAGCCTCTATCAACATTGGTAACAATAATCCTGCACACAGATTTCAGAAAGGCCATTATCTTTTCACAATGGCAGCTGTGGCAGATGTTGTGCAAATCTTGGCTACACCTAAACTACCCATTTATGTCAAATGAGTCATGTGGTGATGTCTGCAAGCATACCACCTTGAAGCTTTGAGCAAACACAATTTACTAAGTACTAGAATACAGAAAGCTAATGGAAGATTTCAGGGAACTAATCTCAGCCTTAATTATTCCTGTGTAGGTACTTACATCCAAACTACTTCTGTGCCTATTCAGGCATCTAATGATAGATGTCAGATATTCAGAAACTACAAACAGAAATTTTTATATGCTAAAAAAGTGGCTGAACTAAACACCAACATATAAAAATGAAATGGAGTTTCAGTTTCATCTATGTATTCTTAGGAACGGAAGGAAAGTAAGAGTAAGATAGCACATTAAATAAACTACTTTTGCTTCTGTTAATCTGTACTCTGGAGGAATTGTTTCTTCATCTTCACCCAGTTTTTTGTGTTGCTCCTGTTTGGTTTTCTCCTGTGAAGGCAAAATCAAAATAATATAAATAAAACCAAACAACTACATTCCAACAGAAATGCAGATGAGCAAGCTTTTGAGGTCTTTGGTCTCCTGAGTCAAATTAGTCTTTCTAATCCAACTATCAGATAAAAACCTCTTGAAAATTAGAAGAAAGCCTATTCTCTTGAGAAAGCCTTTAATTCTCTGCCTGTTTCCTCCTATATATATCAGAAGTACCTCTACCTATTTCAATGAAGATCAACAGAGTTAAGTAAACAGACAATCACAGACCAATCTAAAATAGATTTATACCCGAGTCTTAACTCTTGACTTCTTCTGAAATCCTCTCAACAGCTGTCTGGGCTGTGTGCAAAGGAAGGCTGGACAGAGAAATCTGTAGCCAACTTCAAAAAGCACTATCCTCTTATGTTATGTTAGAAGATGGCAACTAGAAAAAGGTAGTAAAGCCAACTTCGGGAACTTCTATTTGATGGAGTTCCAGCCCACTCAAAATGCTGTCCTTCCTAGTTTTGGCTCCAGTCAATACCACCTGGGCCATGGTCTGGGGTGGCAAATGGGGGTATTTAGACTGGGACTATGAACAGCATTCACGGAGAACACACATACTTGAGTGTGTTGCTTAAGGCTCCCTGTTAAAATAACAAGATAAGTGGCAAAAACAGGTTTATGTATCACTTGTAATTTAAACAACTCGTCATGAATTTGGTGCCTTTTGAAAGAAGATTGCTACCTCTGATGTACCTGTTAATTCTGCTTTGGTTCAGCAGTAAGACACTAAACAAATGCAGTTTTCAGAAGCTGAGGGAACTGTTGTATTGTAATAGGCAAAATTATAAGAAAATATACTCCCTCTGCTGAAAGCCTACTAGTACTTCCTAAGCAGAACACAACTGGTTTCATAGGTACATTTTGTTTTTTTTTTAAAAAAGAAAAAAGTTAAAAGTATTACCTCTAAATTATTTCTAGCCTGAGGAAATACAGTAACACTGAAGATAATTACATCAACAGTCCATTTTTTGAGCTCTGATTCTTTCTCTACCTTAATTTTGTCCACAGCAGGCTTCTTTTGATCTGGATCAGGCTCCATCTTTCCTAGGGTACTGGATAAGGCTTCCAGTGTTTCATCTGCCACTTGGCCAACCTGCTGGGGTATTGATACAGTAAAAAACAATTCTTACTTTGCAGTTCAGCTGCAGCTGAATAAACCTGTTCACATACAAGCCACACATTCCTTAAGGTAAAAACTGGTAAGTAAACCAAAAAACAGTAATGCTTTTTTCCTTAATTGCTTTCACATACTTGGAATCTCCTGGGTTCAAGGCATAAGGAAACTTTGTCAGAGGTTGCTCTGTAAACAGGCATCTCCCTTCCAAAGACTTAATCACAGCTAAAATGTTCCACAGGGAGGTTGTTTGTTTTGGGTTTTAATAAAATCATATATATTCTGCAAACAAGTGCAAGAATGTCAGCCTTTAATGTCATTTTCCTTCAAATTATTCAGGAGGACAATTGTTATTTTTTTTGTAGAAACTGTCTTTTCCTGCAAGTATCCATTATGTTCACAAGCAACATCCCTTTTACAGCAGTAAGTGCTAGAATAGACCACAAGAACTGTCAGTTTGACTTCTTCTGTTAAGAAGGTCTCTGATCTTCCCCATTCAGTTTGCGTTTGACTTTATTTTTTGTTTGTCTGTTTGAAAGCACACTGCCTTTGTGGCTTACCTCTAAGGAGGATTAATATAAAATACTGAAACAAGCATCTTGAAAACATGGTATACCATTGCATAAATGAAGCACTGAATTTCCAGCTAAGACTACTCACTGAAGACACAGCTGTTGCAGCTGAAGACTGCAGAGTGCAAGCTGTGGCACAAGGGACTGCTTCATCCTCAGTAATTTTTGCAGCCACAGAATCTGAAGGCGTCTGAAACAGAACAATTACACTACATTTTACTGATTATGCTCAGAAACCCAAAAGGTGGCTGTTAAGTGCCCTCCCCCCCCCCCTTTCTTTTTAATACAGTACAGACCAAGAAAGAAAAGTCTAAATTTAAAGGCAAAAACCCCTCAGTTAAGGCCTAACTGCCAATCCTCCATGCAACTGGGGGTTGGGGGACGGGACCAAAAACAGAAGAAAATATTTTTAATGAAAGAATAGTAACATCATCCACTCTTAGCAAAACTATCACTGTCAGCATCTTCACTGAACTAGAGAGACATACTTTGGACATGCTCCTGGGATTTGATGGTTTGGACTGTACTGCAGGCTGGGCAGAGCACACAAAGTCTTTTGAAAATTCATCAATAAGATCAGATTCACTCAAAGGCTGCAAAAAAAACCAATCCCATGTGGTAGAGGTGACTCACTGCCTGGTTTTAATTTATCTTTCCAAGAATTTTATTTCAAGTACTTAGAAAGCATGAAAACTTTTGTAGTCAACACCAAAATAATCTTTCACATTTATGTGCAACAAAACAACGTGAGTTTTGTGGTGCATAAAGAAAGAAAATAGCTTTTCAGAATGAGTCAGTTGCTTTGTTATCAAAAGTCAGTACAATGTAAAGAACATGATGTTCAATACTGTTTACACGGCTACTGAAAGGAAAAAGGAACCTCTTAGCTAGAAAAACAGATATTTAACAGAACAACTTACAGAACCACTACTGAATTATATTTGTGTCTCTGACTGATAAAGATGAAAGAGCACAGAAATATTTATTCTCCTACCAACCACTTAATTCTTCTGGCATAAGATTTCATGATTCTGAGTTCATCTTCTGCTTTGGTTTTGTACTGGACTTCAGTTAAGCCATGAACCAACCTCCTTTAACTCATGCCAAGTTCCTCTTCTGGAGCTTTTCTGCTTTTTGTGTCCTTCTCTTTTGTACTCCCTATGAAACAGGAATGCTTGTCTCCTAAACATCAGTGCCTGGCTCCCTCAGAACTGTTCTCCCTTTTTTTCCTATGACATGATTGGCAGGTGCTCCTTCTGTGCAGCTCTATCACAACACCCACTACAGACGATTCCATGTCTAAGACCCAACACACGAATTTCCAGAAATGAAAAGTCTTTACACCACTGCCTTTGCACTCCTCGGTATTTCAAGCTTGAATAAGATAAACGAGTTCACATTCCTGCTAAAAGGCATGGTGTCACTCTTGCTCAGATTGATCCTGACTCATTTCAGAAGAACAGGGGTTTACTGTACTTATCCAATTTGGCAGCTCTCATCAACTCACAGTATTTGCAAAGTGAAGCCCCGTTTCTTCAGTGCACAGTTCCTTTGCTTTTCCCAATCTTTGCTTTCTTCCTGTGCATTTTAAATTTAAAAAAAACCTCTGTAAGTTCCAATCTTTTCATTCTATCTTACACATCCTAGGCCACAATGGATACTTTTTGCAAAGTACAAGTTGTTCTTCGTGATTAGGAAAATATTCACAGTGGCTTTTTCCCTCTTTCCAGTCATGTTCCTTTATATGTGATGACTAATGAAAGGGAACTGTCAAGAAAACAAAAGATTTTCCTGCCTTGCCTCTCTCTGTCCTTCAACAATTCCAACAGACTTCTACAGAATACCTTAAACTAACACCCCACACAGCTTTTGTTTGCGTCAGCAGTTATTTCTGTAATTCTCTCCTGTGTCAGTTATCTCTAAACTTTTTTCTTACTGTTAGCTCTTCATTCGCAGCCAGCAAATTGCAAGAAATCCAACTTTCACTTGACACTTCAGATCAGCAGGTTTTGTGGAAGGCAGTAAACACACAAGCAGACCAAGAGACTTACATGATGGCAGAGAGAGAAATGACAACAGAGAAGGAGAAAACAGGGTATCTATTCACACTCTCTCAACATTGTCAGTTTTCTAACCTTAGGTTTTTCCTCAGGCTTTGGCAGTGCTGGTTTTCCATCTTTATCCTAGAAGTAAAGGAAGTATAATTGACATTTTTCCATTGTTTTAAGAAGTTCCATGCTTCAGCAAAGTAACATAAAGTAAATGATCAAAAGAACGCATCAAAATGTATCAAAAGGAATGTGACCAGCAGGATGAAGGAGGTGAACCTGACACTCTGCTCTGCTCTTGTGAGACCCCACTTGAAGTACTGCATGGAGTTCTGCTGTTCTCAACATAAGAGGGACACGGAGCTGCCGAAGCAAGTCCAGAAGAGGGCCACGAGGGTGGTAAGGTGGCTGCAGCACCTCCTGTATGAAGACAGGCTGAGAAAGTTGGGGATGTTCAGCCTGAAGAAGACTTGGAGACTTCAGAGCAGCCTTCCAGTATTTGAAGGGAGCCTACAAGGATGCTGGAGAGGGACTCTTCATCAAGGACTGCAGCAATAGCACAAGGGGTGATGGTTTTAAACTTGAACAGGGAAGTTCATATTAGGTAAAAGGAAGAAATTCTTTACTGTGAGGGTGGTGAGGCACTGGAATGGGTTGCCCAGAGAAATGATAAATGCCCCACCCCTGTCAGTGTTTAAGGTCAGGTTGGACAGAGCCTTGGGTGACCCGGTCTAGTGTGAGCTGACCCTGCCCATGGCAGGGAGGTTGGAACTAGATGATCTTTCCAACCCAAACCAGTGTATGATTCTATGTTACTATGATAGACACAAGATGAACTCAGTAACATAGTTACAGGAAACCCTCTAAACAGGGCAAATTCTTACATAGCCAGGTAAATGGATAAAACAAGCAAATACAATGTCAGCACAAACAGGCCACGAGACCAGAAAGAGTTCATTCCTGTCTGGATCAACATGCAGCAGAAATTAATTCCCTAGTAAACTATCAAGAATTCATCTAGTAGTAAAAAAGGCTTTGAGTGCAAAGGATAAACTTTTGCGCTTAACAAATAGGGAGTTAAATCCCACGTCTGTAGTCAGGTAGTCTTGAAATCTCTAAAAAGAGGGGTAAAACTGCTCCTTTCACAACAATGTTAACATCCAGCTCTAGCAAGACCATTTTATATAGCAACCTTGGTAACATCAGTTAAACTGTTGCAAAACCTTCCAAATCTGAACTTTATGGAAAACACATCTCAGTTCTATGGTTGGTTTTTTTCACCTTGAGAAAAAGCTCCATCACCTGGAAATGACATTCTAAAAAAATTAGTTTAATTTTCATACCATTTTACAACACTGTTTCAAGGTTACATTACAAAGTGATACCTACCAGCACTTCCGTAAAGGGATGGATTTTACCATATTGAGTTTTAGTATCAGAAACAAGTAACACCACTCTTGGAGAAAAAGTATGTGATTTGGGAAGATAAGATCTTTGTTCATACGCCTGAAAAACCCACTCATGCCCACAAAGGGAAGGAAACTAGAGATACAGAAATCACCAGCAGGAAAAAGCTGCTGATTAAACACTAGTTTTGCTTCATTTTCCTATACTCTTTCCCTCCCTGAGACAAAAATGTCAGACACGTGCCCTATTTACACGGCAATGAAGATACAAAAAACTTACCAACTTCAGTGTTAACCTGTACTCTGGAGGTACCATATCATCAAGTTCTCCAGCCTTTTCTTCCTTTTTCTCCTTAGCTTTAGCCTTACAAAGAAAAAAAAATAAATAATAATAATCACAGAAATTACAATAAAAAAACTCCAAAGCAGACTCAACTTCAAGATTCATCAGCCTATTGTTTGAAGAATTGGTATCAGATAAAATTATTCCATATAGTAAGATATTAAAATTCCTAAATTTATTCCTATCAAATTTATATGGTAAAATCATCTTGGTTTAAGAATCAGTGCCATATGTGAACACAGCTGTACTATTTTAAATTTAAAAAAATACTCAGAGCTATAGCTTTGTGGCACATCGAGAATTTCTGTGTGTACAAAACCCTCAGGTTTCCTTGGATTTCATCATTTTGATTACAGAAGCCATAATTCTGTATCTTTTTCCATCACTGTTACTGAAATCCAGCCTTTAATTTTCTGGATATCCTTCCAGAATTAATGCATCCACTATGTAATCTGAAGGCCCAGGCTACTGCACTACCTGCACTACTACATGCTCCTTTTGGTAAAAATTTAGCTCCGACATTTTTTCTCAGCGACAAATTATTCTCTGCTATTTCCCTGTCATTTGTATGTTCTGAGCTGTAAGTGAATACAAGGGAAAATAACTGTTAGTGGCAGAGTTATAGGCAGAGTTTGCAAAACTAAACTATGACTAAACTTTGACTAAAAAGTCAAAGTTTAACATGCAAACACAGGGCTACTGTTAAAATCTAACTGTTAAAAACAAAATTCTTAGAAGTCAGAGTGAAAGGCAAAACCCAAATCAGAAAATAATGGGGTCTGATGGATAAAGGAGCACAGGCACTAAACACCTGAAAAGTCAATTAAAAATGAAATTATAAACATATGCAAAACAAAAGCTTGCTATAAATTGTACCCAGTGCTTGAGAAAAAATAAAACAACAGAGCTATAACTAACACAGTGAGAAGTGTATGTATGTAAGCTTGTAGAGTCAAATGAAATGCTTATAATTTTCCAAACCATCTTACTGTAATTTTTTTTACTTGTATCCACTCAGGGTTTCTTCACTTCTTAATTTTCTTAATCATGTAAGAGTCAGACATTCCTTAGGCCTCTGATATGAAAGTCTATTTTACACATTTGTACAATATCTAACAAAGAGGTCATGTGATTCCATGGGAGAGTCTGAAAACTGCTGTAAAAGTGAGTAAGACTATACCTCTGCCACCTCTACAACAGGGGTATGATCTTCAGGTTCAGGTTCAGGTCCACCAAGAGTACCAAGAACTTCCATTACAACACCTTTAATTTTCTGCATTTAAGAAAATTCATAAATCATTCAATTACTAATTTAAATTGACAAAGGTTTTACCTCATAGATCTTTTATGCTGCATATGAAACAAACAGCCAGCACCAGACTGGTCATTTCTGTTTGGCTTTACCTGATTTCCTTAACATCACATTGGAGGACATTGCAAATCATGTGGGAAGATTAACACAGTCTAATCAATATGTATCTCCTCTTAAGGAGAGGGGAAAAGGAAAAAAATAGGGGGGATGGGAGAGGGGAGGGAGCACAATATCATATAATACAATTGTGAAATGCTTTGACATGGTAAACCCAGGATGTATAAGATCATATTGCTCTCTACATAGGAAACAAGAAAGGTTTTTGAAACATGAGAAAAGTACATCAGATACAAGTTTTAAATACACCTCACATAGCTAAGAAAACACATACATTTTTCTACTCTTGCTCATAGCCAGAAAAAACACCGTTATTATGCAGAATAATGCAGAAAGAAAGTAATCTGACCCACTGAGGTACAGCAGAATCTGAGCAATGACAATTTCTATTATTCCTATAATTCCTATGATAAACAGGATTTACAGCTGAAAATCAGGATGATCACAGGATCACAGAATGGTTTGGGTTGGAAGGGACCTTAAAGCTCATCCAGTTCCAACACCCTACCACAGGCAGGGACAACTTCCACTAGACCAGATTGCTCCAAGCCCCATCCAACCTGGCCTTGAATACTGCCAGGGATGGGGCAGCCACAGCTTCTCTGGGCAACCTCTGCCAGGGCCTCACCACCCTCACAGGGAAAAACTTCTTCGTAAGATCTCATCTCAAGCTCCCCACTGTCAGGCTAAAGCTGTTCCCCCTTGTCCTGTCCCTGCAGGGCCTTGTCAAAAGCCCCCCTTCAAATTTTTTTTTAGCCCCCTTTACATCTTTACAAGATCAGGCAAACATAAAACACAACACGTGCTTGTAATTTTTAGTTAGAAGTCAACTACTCAATGTATTATTATGTATACCTCTTTTGATTTTGTTTTCTTCTCCTTAGGAGGAACTGAGGTGTTTACTGATCTTACTGCTTGTGCTTGTACAATTTCTCCTTCCTTACTTGGTTTCTATGAGAGATACAAAATTACAAGCAAATTTAAAAAAAATCAAAAAAAAAAGGAGAAAACTGACAAGATAATTTTAAAGTGAACTACTAAGATACCAATGGCAATGTTTCATCGCAGTAAAGGCAACCAATTGCAAGAAAAATATCAATACCTCTGTCAGACTTGTCTTTTCTTCAGCAGAAGCAGTACTACAGGTGAAGTCTGATGACAAGGCCTCTGCAAGCTCATCATCTGTCATTGGTTTCTGAGCGAGAAATTGCAAACTAGGTTATGATTATTAAATTTCAAATATCAATAGTGTCAAACTTGGTTTAAAATCTGAGTGCACTCCATGCTTACTCACACAATGACCTCATAACAACACAATGGCATTGCAGAAAAATTGTATTTCCCCTCAACGATAGATTCATTTTTCAGATAAGCTTTATTTTTTTATGTTAAACTTATAAAACAGTAAAATGAAGCTGGCTTACAGAATTCTCTTGTGAAGTACAGAAATACAAATTGTCTTTGCTAAAGACATATGCACGACTACTATTTCTTCCTTTTGTTATTATTATCGCTAGTATCTCTACGCCCACTTATCTGATTTGTTTCAGCTTCAGTCAGTGTTCTGAAAATTCTTACTTCTTTCTTAAAACCATCTGTGTCAAAGTCTAATTTCTGTGACAAGTTTTAGCAGCATCTACATTATCTGGCACCCCACAGACGTCTCCCACTTGCTGGGATTTTTGGAAGACAGGCAACACTTAAATTTTCTTAGGAGCAAATGATAGTTGGGTTATTTTCACCTTCCAAATTTTTTTTTTTTACAGGTAACTTACTTCCCCTCGTTCATCTGCTTTTGGTGGGAATCCATCTTTGCCACCCCCTTTGCTCTAGAATGAGAATTAATTTTGTAGTAAATGGTAAGCAAAAACTTACAATATAAGAGAAAACACACATGAAGAATAAGCTTTTTTTTTTTTTTAACTCACTAACCTTCAACAATTTAACATACTCTGGAGGGAGACTACCTTCTCGTTTACCCAGCTCTTCCAGGTATCTTGAAGATATATCTTCCTATGAGAAGAATGCACATCTTAGTGTCTTTGTACTCTTGTTTATTGAAATAAATTTTAATGTAGAGCTATCTACAGTGATAATTCTGTAAAGAAAACAAAAGAGTTGGCTAGATCACAGGGACAATCCTGGACCGTCACTATAGTGTCTTTCAGACCTAGTGTCATGCATGTGGCATCTCAACTAGCTGCAACAGTGCACACCACCTAGCAAAACTTTCCCTCTCCAGATTTCTTCTGTATTAATATAGGACATTTCAGTGTCTCCCGCCATAGAATGTATTGCTGTACCTAAAGTGAATTCTAAATATTGATAAATTCAAAAATTTTCATCACAGCTGAGTACTGCTTTTAATCTTAATCATAGAATCACAGAATCATTAGGGTTGAAAAGGACCTTAAGATCATCTAGTTCCAACCCCCTGCCATGGGCAGGGACACCTTACGCTAAATCATATCACCCAAGGCCTCGTTCAACCTGGGCTTGAACACTGCCAGGGATGGAGCATTCACAACCTCCCTGGGTAACCTATTCCAGTGCCTCACCACCCTAAAAGGAAAGAATTTCCTTCTTATATCCAATCTAAACTTCCCCTGTTTAAGTTTTTACCCCTTGTCCTGTCACTACAGTCTCTAATGAAGAGTCCCTCCCCAGCACCCCTATAAGCCCCCTTCAGATACTGGAAGGCTGCTATGAGGTCTCCACACAGCCTTCTCTTCTCCAGGCTGAACAGACCCAACTTCCTCAGCCTGTCTTCATACGGGAGGTGCTCCAGTCCCCTGATCATCCTCATGGCCCTTCTCTGGACTTGTTCCAACAGTTCCATGTCCTTTTTATGTTGAGGACACCAGAACTGCACACAATACTCCAGGTGAAGTCCCACAAGAGCAGAGTAGAGGGGCAGGATCACCTCCTTCGACCTGCTGGTCACACTCCTTTTGATGCAGCCCAGGATACAGCTGGCTTTCTGGGCTGCCAGCGCACACTGAAGCTGGCTCATGTTCATTTTCTCATTGACCAACACCCCCAAGTCCTTCTCCGCAGGGCTGCTCTCAATCTCTTCTCTGCCCAGCCTGTCGCTGTGCCTGGGATTGCTCCCACCCAGGTGTAGGACCTTGCACTTGGCATGGTTAAACTTCATGAGGTTGGCATCAGCCCACCTCACAAAGTGTGTCGAGGTCCCTCTGGATGGCATTCCTTCCCTCCAGCATATCAACCAAGCCACACAGCTTGGTGTCATCGGCAAACTTGCTGAGGGCACACTCAATCCCACTGTCCATGTCAGCGACGAAGATGTTAAACAAGACCGGTCCCAACACCGACCCCTGAGGGACGCCACTCGTTACCAGTCTCCAGCCGGACATTGAGCCATTGACCACAACTCTTTGCGTGCGGCCATCCAGACAGTTCTTTATCCACCGAGTGGTCCATCCATCAAATTGATATCTCTCCAATTTAGAGACAAGACTATCATGCAGGACAGTGTCGAACGCTTTGCACAAGTCCAGGTAGATGACATCAACTGCTCTACCCCTGTCCATCAGTTCTGTAGCCCCATCATAGAAGGCCACCAAATTGGTCAGGCAGGATTTGCCTTTAGTGAAGCCATGCTGGCTGTCACCAAGCACCTTGTTGATTTTCATGTGCCTTAGCATGCCTTCCAGGAGAATCTGCTCCAAGATTTTGCCAGGCACAGAGGTGAGACTGACTGGTCTGTAATTCCCCCGGTCATCCATTTTCCCCTTCTTGACAATGGGGGTTATATTTCCCTTTTTCCAGTCATCGGGAACTTCACCTGACTGCCATGATTTCTCAAATATGATGGCCAGCGGCTTCGCAAGTTCATTCACCAGCTCCTTCAGGACCCGCGGATGGATCTCATCAGGACCCATGGACTTGTGCACGTTCAGATTTTTAAGATGGTCTCGAACCAGTTCCTCTCCCACAGTGGGCGCAAGGTCTTCATTCTCACAGTCCCTGCATCCATCTGCCTTTCAAGACTTGGGTGGTTTGGTCAGAGCCTTTGCCAGTGTAGACTGAGGCAAAGAAGTCATTCAGACCCTCAGCCTTCTCCAAATCCCGTGTAGCCAGTTTTCCCAAGAGCTTCCTGAGGGGGCCTACATTCTCCCTAGTCTTTTATTTGCTATGTACCTGTAGAATCCCTTCCTGTTATCTTTAATACCTCTAGCTAAGTTTAATTCTAACTGGGCCTTAGCTTTCCTAACCTGGTCCCTAGCTTCTCGGACAACATCCCTGTACTCTTCCCATGCCACCTGTCCTTGCTTCCACTTACTATAAGCCTCTTTTTTCAACTGAATTTTCCTCAGAGGCTCCTCATCCACCCAAGGAGGTCTCCTGGCCCTCCTGCTGCACTTCCTTATGGTTGGGATGCAACACTCCTGAGCTTGCAGCAGGTGATCCTTGAATGTCAACCAACAGTCTTGGGCCCCTCTGCCCTATAGGGCTGTATTCATTCTTCTTATGTTACTTTCCCAAACTAACTCAGAAAAGTATGCTTCCTTCCCCAAATTCTTGAGGTATTACTCTTTCTCAAGTAGAAATGAAATCTCCTAGATTGCTTAATGCTCTCTTATGTCTCCATCATTGCCTTTTGTAGATGCACTGGAGACCATGCCTGGAAGTCAGTTAAAAAAGCAACAACTGTCTTTACTGACCCTGTTTTCTACTGAGATACATTCATAACTGTATCATTTCTGTTTTACCGAAAAAAGCACTAAAATGCAACTGTGCAAACTCTGTTTCACCCCTTAGCAGATCTAAGCAACAAATACTGTATCAATGTAGTAGTGAGCAACTATAGACATATTTCAGAGATTAATCCTCTAAAAAATAAAAATTAAAATGCAAAATACCGTAACTTCTGGACCAGTGTAAACAGGACTAGTAGGCACAACTTCCTCAGGTCCACCCAGGGTATCTATTAGGCTATCTAGTGCTGACTCATCCATTCCAGCCTAAGGAAAATAAAAAATAAAACCATTCTAGAAGTTACCATGCTGTACAAAAAAAAAAATCTGAATCATTTGATGAATCTGCAGAAAACTCCTGGAAACAAGACTAAAAGCTTCCTGCACTTGCCAAATTTTTCAGTGGGAAATGTTCTTCCACTCTTTCCCTAGTGTCAGTAACAGACTCATTTGTATTCACGCACCAGCTCAGATGCAGGGATATACAAACATAACTGAAAATAAAGAGTAATTAAGTTTATGCTAGTTGTGGTAAAATTTATTCTAAACAAGCCCTATTTGACAAAGCATAAATGACATGCCACTAGTTTATTACCTATTCTTTCAGATAGTCCTTCACCACCATACGTAACTATTACATAGCAGTACTTCAGCAGTTACCGATATTTTTTTCCTGAAATAGAAGTGTTTCAGAGAGAGAAACACCCTCCAAGTCATTTTTACATGGACGCATTTATCTGGGACTTGTTTACCAACCTCGCTGCTTGACTTATCAGCCACAGGAACTACGCTTGCACCAGCTGCAGCTGCACTGGCTGCAGGAGCCTCTGTGGACATTTTCTCAGACTTGGGCTAGAGAATTTAGGAAAAAAAAAAAAGAGCTACATTATACGGCCCTATGTTAAAAATTCAAGAGACAAAACAAAGTAAACTAGAGATCTTCTACACAGGCATACGTATCTATTTGCCCTCTTCATCTACATTTCGAATACGAGAAGCTGGTTCTACCTACTAGCTGAGTGGTCTGGAAGTTGAGTAGCTGCACACTGTGTGATACTGAGCCCAGTCTAAAACATACAACTCTGAGGCTGCATGTATTTTTTTTGACTCAGCAACAGGCTAATGAACCTGCCCAGGGTCCAGATACCGGGGCAAAGCAAGCTACCATCTACCTGCAGTACTACAGAGTCATTCTCCATTTCCAGAGTGGTTTTGCTGTGATAAAGGAAGCATGCCATTTTAAATACTTTACTCCCCCGTTTTACTTCACCAGTAAAAGAAATCTCCAGTGCAGAAAGACTACGAGGCTCCTTTCAAGTCTCTTCTGAAAGCTTTCACTTATACCTCGTAGTTCTCAATATACCATAAACACTAGCAGCAAATACTGTTCAAACAGGAAGGGTGAGAACTGCTTCAGTGAGTTAGGTGCAGGCACAACACCAACACAAAATTAAGACTTTCTCATTTACTGCAAAAAAGTGGGTTACAACAGAACTGCAGGAGTCCTTCATATTACATTTGCTTTATCACCCAGACATGTGCAGACCAGAAAACCAAAAGATCTAGATCCTGACTCAACCATACACTTTTACTTCAGATTTTTCTCCACTTGCCCCTCTGAAAATGACTGCACCCCGAGTTTTTCCCCAACCTTTCTCTTCCTTGTAGTCACGGTTTATGGGCTACCTCACTGCAAACCTGCAACCTGCTGACCTACTACATATAGAGCCAACACTGCTACTACATAGATGCCTGGAAGCCCCTAGATGAACGAGCTCTATGATGGCAATGCTCACATAAACAAAGCTTGACTGACCAGACAGTCCCTTCTATTCACTTCTGCCATGAAGGGGCAAGGGAAAAGACTGGCAAAGTACCAATTCTAACAACGTAGCTGCAAGGAACTTGCAAAAAAGCTTGCCTGAACGGCAGAGGAGCCCCAAACCCATAACACATGGTAGCCAACCTATACGTGTGAGGATATTAACATCACTTGCTTGGCTAACAGGCAAGTCCTGGAAAAACTGATGTATGAATAGGACAGCAAAAGGTGGACACACATCAGGATCACCAAAAAACCAGTGCAAACTACCCATACCATGTGGCTGGGTGGCTCAATCTGCAGCCGATGCTTATTCTCTAATGCTGTTATGGGTTAGCTGGAAGTGGTATATTCCGGATGGTGTTTATGTTACTTAATGGGTAAAATGTGAACTTCCTACGTTCCAGACTTTAAAGCAGCACAAGGAGGTCTGTCACAGCCACCTTTAATCACAAGGCAGCTCTTAAGCTTTTCTACATTGTGAATTTTGGGAGTGTAGTCTCACTTGCAATATTCAGCATAAGAATCCATCTTGAAATGAATTTTTAACCCCTATAATAACATAAACAGTAAAAATTTTATTTGCTACTTCTGCCATACCTTTGCTGTCTCTATGGAGATTGCTTGTGGAGGCTGGCCAGCTTGAGCTGTAGTTACTTTTTCTGCATTATTTGTTGTCAGAGAAGGGGAAGTTTGGCTTTTTGCCTGTGTAGAGACAAACTATTATTAGATACAAAAATGTTTATGGGATGGATTTGGGTTTTGGTGTAGTTTTGTTTGTTCGTGGTTTTTGTGCTTTTTTTTTAGGGAGGGAGAGTGGGACGGAAGAAAGGAAGAAGGAACAGGGGAAGGAAGGGAGGAAAAGATGGAAGGAAAGAAAGGAGGAGGGAAGGAAGGGAGAAAGGGAGGAAGGCAAGGAAGGAGACAAAGAGGAAGGAAGGGAGGGAAATACCACTGCAGCCTTTTTTTTTTGGGGGGGGGAAGAGAGTTTGGAAAAAAAAAAAAACCTGTACAACTTACACCATTGGGTTCCTTTTGCCTCTCTTCAGACAGCTGTTTATTTTGAGAGTCTGTTGGCTGTCATAAAATAAAAAACTTAGATAATTTATCCTTACCATTATTCAATGTTTTGAATCATGATCTACCCTAGCTCAAATAAGCACAAGACAGATTAAAGGTGGTTAACAGAACACCTCCTGAGCTGCTGCATTTCCACGCCTGTTTGTTCCTTGCTCTTGTGAACACAGGAACATTAGAATGTTACTAATCACATGGCAGTTTCATGTGGCACAGCAGTGGCAAAGAGTTTAGCCTCTTTCTACAAAGTTAGTCATAGTCCAAAGTACAGCACTTGCCAAAGGTGAAAGGTAGGTATTTACCTTGGTTGACTGCGTGCTTTTTCCAGACTCTGTTATGGTTGTTGGTGCAGGCTGAAATATAAGTAACATATATTCAGATGGAGATTAATATACTTAGTTATTTCTAAGGAGTGGGCTTATAAACAGAAGAATATCAGGTTCATGTTTGTGAGCACTTGTGCTATGTAATTAATATACAGTGTCCTGATCTAATAGTTTACAACATTCCAACACAGACCTCCACTCCAGGGCCCACAGGTCACATGTGTGCAAACACACATATACACACACTCCTCATATAGAAGATAGAAAAGAGAGGGAAAGAAGGTGTCAAACAAATAGAATGAACAGTTTGATTTACACTTGCAAATTTTCTGCAGCCATGACACCAAATTGATTCCTGTGATTCACCTCATGTCAAAGTACAGTAACCAACAGATTTCTACTAGTAGAAACATGAACACTGAAAAATTCAAGAAGTTGTATGTGATAAGAAGAAAGAAATATTGAAATGCTAGCCTCCTCACTGTATTTTTCTTTTTTTCCTCCTCTTGTTTCTTCAGCAGTGCTACAATTAACACAAAAAGAGCCAGCCAGCCAGAATTCTTCCCTATCCCCTCTATTCTACTAATACATTGAGCACATTTAAAAGATACTAACAGACAAATAATTGTTGTTTTTTTTTCCCAGTAGCCTATTAAAAATCAGTGAACAACCAAAAGAAAACAAAAAAGCAAACCAACTATTAGGCGGTAATTATAGATTTCTTTATTCTTGATAGATTTCTATTCTTCTTATAGATTTTTCTCATTTCAGCTCCCAAATATTAATTAACATTGCTATACTTCCAGCTTCTCTTTTCTAGCTGACCACATTTGCCACATTTGTTTACCGCGTGTTATGCAAGTATTCACACCCCCACAATGAACCACAGACACTTGGCTGGGAAATGCTGAATGTGCATAAAAACACAGATGCCTGGGCATAATCTTTGCAAAGATCTCAAGGCTGTACATCACAGTGAAGAACACACCACCACCACAAGTAAGTCCCAACATGGAAAATATTGATAGAGAAGGAGGACAAAAATTTTCCAAAATCCAAAATGGAGAAAAAAACTAATATTAAAAAAAAAAATCACTTAACTTCTCAAGATTCCTTGCTTTGGATTTTCTCTTGACGTTTAACTTGATTAAAAAACACATATGGTATGATTCAACCATGCTGTTTATGCTCCCACTTGTACATCCTCATTACATGACTACCATACGGTTAACTCAAAGACATACATCCACTATTTGTGTACCTGTAAATAATCCTGTATTGAAAAGGTAATCCTAGATTTTCAGATTTTAAGCTAAAAAAGGTTGGTCATGTTTATGCAGCATCTAAAGCAAAGAGTCAACGAGACATAAGACGTCCTTCAGCTGCAAGGCTGCAGAGAAACCTAACAGATGTGCAAGCTTGAGGTCCAAGAAAGAGAGTCTGACTTTTCCTGCTGTGGGACTGTTGTAGGCATATAGTTTGGTTTTTTTTTTTAAAAAGGACTTTTTATGTAGATATAGTTAAAAACTGGAACCTGTGTCACCATGGAAAAGCCTGAACAGATACAGGGGCCTCCTAAAAGGTCGGGATGACCTGGGAAAAACCCTAATGAAGATCATTGACAGCCAGGGAAGAGGCACTGGCCTTCTGCAGGTGGAATGAGAAAAACAGAACTGAGAAAAACAGGACTAACAAACCTCTGATCAGTAAAAACTATTAGTGAAGACTGGTACATCCTGAAAACACATGGACACTATCAAGGTATGTCTCTAATGTATCAGTATAACATGATTAGCGTGTTCTTTCGGTGAACTATCCTCATTATAATCTCATCTCTTAAACTAAAAATCACTCCCACAACTCAAAAGACTCCTGGACAGGTGAGAAGACCCCTCCCTGAGCAGCACTACAAAAACAAACGATGTCATCTTATGTAAATTAACTGACTAGTCATTAAATGGTGGGAGGGTTACAGGGGGTTACTAACCTGAGTTACATTGTATAAAAATGTGAATTTTATGGGGCAGTGAGCTAGCTCAGAGGGATACTACCTAGCGCCCCTTTTTGAGCAAACTTGGAATAAACAAATACTTTGGCTCTGTGTGTGAGAACTGGCTATTGCACGCTTGGCAGCCACAGGTCCTGGTTTTGGGACAACATGACTGTTGCCTGCTCAGGATTTTAAGTACCCTGCTGCTAGAGCGCAAATTCAGGTTTTCCTGCTGTGCTTTCAAGAAGAGGAGTAAACACCCTTTTTCTGCAGGACAGTAAAATCTATTTTCTTGCATTTCTGTCAACACATAACAACAGCTGTATAGAACATAAATTCAAATTCTCAGCCTGCCAAACCAGTTATTAGCAACTGCCTGCTTTTTCTTTCAATATTGTAAATATTATTATACTAAAGACTTAATGTGTTTTGGGTTTTTTTTTCAGGGTATGCACTATTCATGAGACTTTCATCTCTTCCAAACTGTGCAGAACTGCTCATACTATAAATTTATCTGTGACAATGCTGAAGAATATATGGGCTCACACACATGATCATGAACACATACATACACACACACATTTATTCAGGTACACTTTTAGCAACAACAGAATTAAAATTGACTGAAGAAAGAAAAAAATATTACCAGGCAAGTCAAACCCACAATTTTGGTATGAGACTATGTATATTCAAAGGCAACAATTCAGTCATCCTTTAAATAGTGTCAGCTCTGAGCAATCACACCCTGAAGCCACAGCTCAGTTTACACTGAGTATACACTGATCTCCTGTGGAGAAAGAGATGTTCCCTTCCCCTCTTACTGCCTGCTTCCACCTGCACTGCGCCAGTACCTGAAAGGCCACATCTTAAACTGACTCAGGAAACTGAAAAAACTGCCTGGGAAAGGAAATGAGGATTTTTTAACTAGTTACCTAGGTTACAGTGCAGTTGCATAACCACATGCAAAGAAAAGAAAGCTGGATGGGATCTGGTTTTGTTGTTGGCAGTACCCAGCTCCTTCCACTCTTCCAGTGAAAGCCACAGGATGCCTGCTCTCCACCCTAGTCCTCCAACCTTCCCACCTAACCCCTGAGGCTTCACCTACAGAACAAGGAGTTCCACATTCCTTTCTTTGCTGCAGTAACTCAGTTTTCTCAGAGGGGCATGATACTGAGGATTAATCTGAGGCAAAGGATTCAAATACAGAGAACTGGAAGCTAAAGACAGATCCTGAGCATGTCTAAGAGTACTAACACACCAGTGAGACTCTAGGAAAGACAAATGAGGTGGTTATCAAACAATCAAGAAAGATTTGGTAAATTGCAGGAAATTTTGGACTAGAAATGAAAATGACTCAGCAACCACATTTCTTTTCAAAGAAGTGTACTGTCAGAATGCAGATGACTTGCTTCATCCAGCAGGAGGAAGACATTAATAATGCAACAGGCATTAAAAGAAAACATTAACTGTCTTACACATGCAAATGCACGACATGGTTTCAAAGGGATTTGTGTTTACCAGTCTCACAGTACTGGAGTACAACTCTGCCGCTCTATTTCTGTCTTGTCTTGCAAACATAAGTTTTAAAGATCTGATTAGAAATCTACCACATTCTTCTGAGTGTTACTTCAAATTTCAAGTAAAGAAAGAACATAAACATTTTTAGACGGCTAATTGGGAAAACAGCATCAGTAACAAACATGATACGAGTGAGTTTGCTCACAAATGTGACAGGACAGAGATCTGCAGTACTTTCATTTATAAGTAATGATGATTGTGCATAATGGAAAAGGCTTAATTGTCATACAGCTCACTGCTACCAATATGTGTCTTACACGTATTCATGGAGGAAAAGGGTTGTAAAAGGCTGAGGGGAACGAAATGGCTAACTTCAAGCACAGAAAAGATGGAGCTAGGCTGTCTTCACAGATGAACACTAAAAGGGCAAGAGGAAACAGATAAAAGTTGCAGCAAATCACAGAATCACACATAGATTTGGGCTGGAAGGGCCCTTATAGATCACCTAGTTCCACAGGCAGGGACACCTTTCACTGGACCAGAGCACTCCAAACTCCAACCAAACTGGCCTTGAACACTATCAGGGATGGGGCAAGGGAACTTCCCATTTCATAAAAAGAAAAAAAATCACCATCATGAAGGTAGCAAAACATTAGCCCTGGCTACCCAGAGATGTTGTTTAATCTGCACACTTGCATGTATTCCAAGCTCATCTGGCAATGCTGTGAGGTGTCTGTTTTACCTACAGAGTGGCTCCGCCAGGACTAGAGGACCTCCAACCTCACTATTCTACATGTTCCTTCACTTGCATGTACCCAAGGTGCTGCGCAAGTCCTGGCTAGCCTAGTTTGGTATTCAAGACTTTTGTTGCTTTCACTGTTAAGATTACGGAAAATGACAGAGGGAGATATTCATTAATTGTTTGTTTAAACAATATTCATACATTCTGTTAGGCAACAGAGGCATAAGGGAGGATTACAGTTCTTGTCTAACAAGTAAAATACATGACTGATGACACATGTTTGGCACTAAAAAAATTCCAGTCATAAGGCAAGACAGAACAAGCGTAAATAACAAAGCCAGAGAAGCTGTCAGACAGGCAAAGATAAGAAATTAACAAGAAGATGCAGCTGTACGTACATTAAAAGCTGAAGCTTGTCCTGAATTCTTTGAATATGAGAATTTCCATTAGGTCAATAACCCTGTAATTACACTGGGGGGAGCTCTATACATGTCACAAGACGTGACTGACCAACATTAGAAATTTTGAGGGTTTTTTTTGTTTGTTTTATTGCTGTTACAAAATCCTCTGAGTGCTTTCTATGGCATTTTTAGATATTTTTTAAAGAGAAAAATAAGATTCAGATCAGACATACAAAGTAAAGTTACTCAGTAACAAAGTGTTACAAAATGAATTCCATTTCTTCATTTAGCTGTGCTTAACTGCAAGCACAAATTTCTCAGGAATTCATACCTTTGTTTCAGATGGCTTCATGGTTTGGGGTTTTGATGCATCCACAGTAGGGGACTGCTTCTAAAAGGGAAAAATACAAACGAATTAATTTCACCTTTGTTATACATACTGCTATTAAGCAAGCATAGGCTACCTGAAATCATTAGATACACAGCTAGAAGCTAAAAAAAAATATTACTGAAAATCAGACCTATCATTTTAGGTCTTCTGCCTTGCCTGTATTTCTACAATAAATGTATGTAGGATTTTGACAGCATGATGCTTGTAGATCTCACAACTTTTTTTCTCTTAACTTGTGCTGAAAACAAATTTCGCATGAAACCAAAACAAACTCAATTCCTGGTCTCACACTGAAGCACACATACTGGCTGTGCAAGAGCTGTCCATATTTCATTTTTCTTTTCTTTTGTGCAAAATGGTACTTCTGGATTTACTAGTCTGTTACATAAAATACTTAACACTACATTAGCAAACTCAAGTATGTTGAGTTAAAAAGGAATAATTTACCTCTACGTAACATACACAGCAGTGTTTCTACCTATCACGCAACCCTGTTGGAAAAGCTGCAAATGAAATGGTCTGTTTTTCTAGCTTTGGTGATATTAATCTGAGAACAGCCTGTTTTAATTCTGCTGTGACTGTATCAAACTTTAAAGCCCAGACATTAATATTCCAATACATTATACAGATGTAATACTACCCCTCTGTTCCTGCCTCATGTTCCTCTGCTCAAAGCTCTATTTGCTATCTCGATCACAGCAACACATACAGAGTTTACATTTAAATGAACAGCACAAGTTACTGACTTTTCCAGATTTCTTCTTCATGCTTATTATACCACTTGCTATATGAAAACACACAATCTGAATAAAGTCAGAAGCCATTCCACGAGTCCATACCTAGGGTGACGTCATACTCCCACAAAGAAAATCATCTCATTTCCGTAACTTTTCATAGTACAAGCATTTCTCAATGGTAACACAAAAGTTGTACAGGATTTAAAAGGTACATTACGATGGCGATGACGGCAGTGTGCTCTCCCCACAGGCATATGTGGTATCTTGCACATCTTAGTAAGAGGTTTGACTAAAAATATGCTAGACAGGATTTGCAACTGTCATACCACAGAAATGTAAGCAAGTAATACCTGCCTCCATGTACGTATGTATGTCTAGATTGACTATGTAATAGATGTATGGGTGGAGAAGTACACAGGAATGTATAATGCCTCCTACATCAGGATAAGAACAAGTTTTTTAAGAACATTTTTATATATTGGGTGGTGTTGGTTGATGAGAAACTTCACAAGAGCCTGCTTCAGTGGGCTCTCACAGCACAGGAAGCCAATCTTATCCTGGGCTAAGTCAAAAGGAACATGACCAGCAGGTTGAAGGAGGTGACTCTGCCCCTCTACTCTGCTCTCGTGAGACTGCACTTGGAGTACTGTGTACAGTTCTGGTGTCCTCAACATAAAAAGGACATGGAACTGTTGGAGCAAATGCAGAGGGCCACGAGGATGATCAGGGGCTGGAGCACCTCCTTTGTGAAGACAGGCTGAGAAAGTTGGAGCTGTTCAGCCTGGAAAAGAGAAGGCTGCGTGGAGACCGCATAGCAGCCTTCCAGTATCTGAAGGGGGGCTACAGAAATGCTGGGGAGGGACTCTTCATTAGGGACTGTAGTGGTAGCACAAGGGGTAACAGGTTAAAACTTAAACAGGGGAAGTTTAGATTGGATATAAAGAGGAAGTTCTTTACTGTAAGAGTGGTGAGGCACTGGATTGGGTTGCCCAAGGAAACTGTGAATGCTCCATCCCTGACGGTGTTTGAGGCTGGGCTGGACAGACCCTTGGGTTACATGGTTTAGTGTGAGGTGTCCCTGCCCATGGCAGGGGCATTGGAACTTCGTAATCTTAAGGTCTTTTCCAACCCTAACTATTTTATGAGTCTATGATTCTGCATATTACCATTGGGTAATCTGTAGGCAACACCATATTTTCTTAATTGGCTCTTTAATAGTTTTTCCTTTTCTTTCTTCTCCATGGAATTAATCCACATTTCTTCTACGTGACTAACAAGTAGGTATGTCTTCTACGCCTTCTTATTAGTCACCCCAGTCCCTGTCCATTTAACAAAAACATATTTACCTGAGCCCTTTTGCCTTTAGCCCTCCCCACCAAGGCATTTTCCCGCAATACACTAAAAAGTTCACTCCCAAGCTCCAGCACAGCAGCACCACTATGACCTGCAGAGAGCAGTGAAAACCTCAAAATAATCCAGCTGCTTCTTTTTACTCTATCCAGCTGGACTAGAGCAACTAGCAGCAACTAGATGAGTTTAAATGTTCATGGAGGAAGATTAATAGTTTGGGAACAGATGAGCATGTAATGCATAGCTGCTGCTCAGCACAGCTCCTACTCAGAACTATGGAGAATGCCACACCATCCTCCCTGTAAAGACTCACGGCTGATTTGGGGAAACAAAATCCTGCTCTGGGAAGCTGGGGGAGGGGGAGGGGAAACGGGAAGGGTGGCGAGTAGCAGAGGGCACCCTCCTACAGACAGGCAGTGCTGTGTCACACTGGTCTGTGGGCTTCCTCAGCGGTATTACATGCCCCACTTGTCACCTTCTCCCTGAATTCCACAACATTCGCGGGCTCTTAGAGCGTGTGTCTCCAAGCACACTGCACCTGGCAGACTGACAATGCAAAAAGCTGCGAGGTCCAACCCCCCCCCTCATTTGGCAGTCACTGCACAGCCAGTCAACACCAGCCTGACTCTGTGGACAGCTTGTCACTGTGGTTGTTGTGGTTTTCCTCTTCTGAGGGCTGTGTACTATGGCCAGCAATGCCAGCTGTCAACCAGCTGCACAGTCAGACTGCAGAAGGGGCGAAGCAACACACAGATGCCTGTCAGGCATGGATGTAAATATTAAACTGTTGCCTAGCAACAGGCATAATAACTGCCTGATGCATAGTTCTCACCATGGAGGTGCGAACCCCTGCTGAGCCTGGGCCAGACACCCCCTCACAAACAGTGAAGCTGCCAAACAGAACAGCAAGAACAAAGAGAGTTCAACTCACCCTGGCAGTCAGGGATTGGCAGAGAAAGCCAGGCAGCCCTCCCGCTGGGAGAGCAGGGTGTTTGTTGTGTTGTTAGGGATCCCCTGAGACAGAAACATGAGCATCACTGGTGCTGACACCCGCTCCTCCTGTGTCAGCACCCCTGTGGGTCCTCCCCAGACATAGGTACGGATGCTGAGGATCCCATTCCAGCCCCAGCCCTGAACCAAGGGAGGGAGCTGCTGGAGGTCCCAGCCTGTGGGACAGTTGCTGCATGGCTTTTCATAAAGCACCTTTGCAAGTTGGGCGAGGAGGCAAACTGGACAGCAAAGCACCCAGGACCACAGCGATTCATGGGCAAGAAGCATGACCACCTGCAGAGGAGCCCACCAACAGCATGAGACCACCACAACAGGGGCTCAAAAGACGAAGAAGAGGTTACAGGCTAACACTGATTAAGCAGGGGCTGGTAACTGAATTACCCACTGCAGGGTCACAGCCTGTGCTCTCACCAACCTGCTTGGCAGACAGGAGAGGCATGGACAGACAAGCACAGGAACTGACCAGTAGACCTCAGATGCTCTTGGCAATGAGTCAGAGGATGGCTTACCAGAAAGGGCTGATGAGAAGACTTGGATCTAATTTCGTAAGAGAAGGAATACCCTTAGAAACATATTTGTCAAATTAGCAGGGCAGTTGACATGGTACTGTTGAAAGAGAACAATCACAAAAGCCAAGAAGTGGGTTAGTAAAATAACAAAAGAAGCTGACCAAAACCTGGTTATCTAGCCTCACTGCATGTACTGAGAAAAAAAATAAAGTGAGAAACATCACACAAAAGTAATTTTAACTGCGCAGAGAATTGGATGCAAACACCCTTTGGAAAAAACGCAAGTGAAGAAATCCGTGAGAGCACTGGTCATGGAGACCACCCCATATGGTGTTGAGAGCTATCAGCAACTAAAACTACCAACTTGGTGAATTCATGAAAACCGTTCATAAGACTGAGGAAGGCCAGTGCCCACCTTTAGAAAGGAGCCCAGTGCACCAATTGGCTACCTTCAAAAACAGAACAGACGCTGGAAAAATGTACCAAGCAACTAACACCGAAACACTTAGCTGACAACGTGAGAATAAACAAGAATCAAAAGACTGATAAAGAAAGGCACATAAAGACAGTGCAACACTTAATACACACAAACATGGAAATAAGCTCAGCAAACAGACCTAGGACATGTTGTCACTGCAACTTCTCATAGTACTTGAGGTGACATTTTCTTGAAAGAAATGGGGGAGGTGTTTACCTATGGTTACAATGCTACAGGCTAGCATACTCTTGCAAAATAAAACCAAGAAAAGAGGAATCTGAGATAGAAACCTGTTAACATGACAACATAAATGTAAAATATGAGAATAACTTTCCATCCTTTTTGGCTTGAGGATCTGTAGGTCAAGTGCTAGGGCAGTTTTGGCTGTCACACTGCAATATAGATGAATAAAGAAAGACCTGAGGATCCTTTTAGGGAAAAAAAAAAAAAAAAAAGGATAAATAAGTATGCATGAGGAACTTAGCGACAGGAAAAGCAAGTTAGCACCTGATGTGTCTTCCTCCAGTTAAGGACCCAAGAAAATGGAAAAACAAGAAAATGGCTTATTCTACAACAAGAATCTCTCAAGTGAGAGCTTCAAGATCTTCCTTTCTGGGAGATAAGTTGCTCCATAGCAGAAGCCATATAGACGAAGCAGGGGTTGCAGCCCTAGCAGCCTTCGGGGAAGCTTATATACATATTTTCTCTATGGACAGAGTACCCAAGAGCCACCCAGGTACCCTTCTGGGCTTACACACATTACATCTGAGGAAATTGGGGCTGTTTCTCAGACTAATGTCAACTTTACTATTTCAGTATTACTAACTTACAGAGTTACTTCGATACAGCTGTGCAATGCAAGGCAAAACTTAATCTAGCTGACTACAAATGGTTGCTTCTTTACATTACTGGTTC